TTGGCACACCTTCCTTCCTTTCCCCAGCGTTGACAGATGTGCCTAATTGATCACAGTTTTCCAGAAATCACCATCAATCAACGTAGGTCGGCACCCAGGATGAAATTTACTTGCCACCCGGCCCTGTTGTCCTTATTGAGCCACCTTGAAGGAAGGTGTTTCGGGTGGAGGTGGCTTCAGAGCAGGGGGCATGGGCTCAAGCTGTGGGCTGTGAGACCCTGGGCCCAGGAAGAATGGCTTCACGAGGAACCACGGCAGGGGCTGAGAACGCTCGGTTCACCGTTCTGATTGCTCGTGGAAAGCTCTGGGAGGGATTCCTGCTTTTTTCCTTAGCTCACCGATGCTCTGCCCCAACAATGCTCAGGGCTGTTTGTTCAAGGACTCCCTACTCTGGCAACTTGGCAACTCCCTGTCCAGGGGGTCCCTTTACTTGCTCCACGCACCTCCCACCAACTCCCTCTTCTCTGACCCACAGATCGAACCACTGAGGCACAAGATGGCAGCTGGGGTCACAAATGCAGATCAGGAGTTCCGGGAAGACATCACACAGAGGACTCTCCACCACCAGGCACTGCTGGCCTTGACTGAGACCCTTCACAGGGCAGGGGTGGTGTTCCCACTAGGGAAGGTGAGGCCCAGACAGAGTCCAGTGGCCTGGAGTTGAAGGCTGAGTCCTCATTTGCTCCTCACCCTTCCCAGGAAGGTAGCCAGGCCCAGAGATAGGCCCCACACTGCATCTTGAAGTCAGAACTGTCCTACTGGGAAAATTCCACTCTGGAAGAGGCTGGAGGATGAGGGAACTGGGCTCAGGAGATGAGGAGGAGGGATGGGAACGCTTTCCTCACACCCATCTCCCATCCCCCCTACAGGTCTGGATGGCTTCTTTCCCTAGAGAACCAGGCGCCCTAACCCCACTAGCCAGCTCCGAGCACCTCAGTGCTTCCTGCTCCCATGACCCTAAAGAACCTCAAGGCAGGCCTTGGAAAAACTGTGGGAACCCACCTCAGGGAAGGCTGGAGATACTCCATGAAAGCTGGCTCCTGTTCCTGTATTCCCAGCTTTCCTGGACAGACATGCTGCCCACTCCTGCCGTGACCCCCCACCCCCTTTCCTTCCAAGACATCTGGGCTAGGAAATAGCCTCCCTCACTAGCCCCACAGGGAACAGAAGGCAGGGTGTGCAGGAGCCCCCGTGTCCACTGTCACAGGGAACCACGAAGTCCCTGAATGTCAGACCAGGAAGTAGACAGGTTAGTCGCTCCAACTGCTTCCTTTTATGGATAAGGGGACTATTTAACTTAAGCAGTTACAAATAGAACAGCAGAATAATCCCAGAGTAAATAGAAGAAAGAAAATAAAGATGAAAGCAGAAACAATGAAATAGAAAATACATATACAATAGAAAGGATTAACAAAGCCAAAGGTAATTCTAAGAAATGACTAATAAACTTACAAATCTCTGATAAGACTAATCATGAAAAGAGTCAGCACAGATAAATAACCACGGGGATACGCCACCTATACTGCTGAAATGTTTTTTAAATAGAATACTACAAATAAACTATAAACCTATGATGGGAAATTTTAAAACCTTCACAGGATGAACGCTATTCTAGAAAAATATCTTACCAAAACTCACTCAAAAATAAATAGAGGGTCGGCTGAGTGGCGCATTGGTTAAGAGTTGGCTTGGAAGCGCCAGCTCTGAACAGCAGGGCCCTGGTTCGGATCCCACATGAGGGCCAGTGACGCTGCGCCTTCTACAGCTAAGATGATGAACAACAGCTTGACCTGGAGCTAGGCTGCCAAGAGTCGCCGGCAATGGCGTAGACTGCAGTGGGGCTGGCCGGCAGCCGGCGAGAGCTGCCCTGAGCCACCATGGGCGGCTGTCCAATGGCCGGTGAGTGACTGCCTCAGCTGGGAAGAGCACAATGATAATGCCAACATGGGCCAGTGAAGCGACTCCACAACTAGACTGAAGAACAAAAGGACAGCAACTTGTCTGTTCCCCTCCCCGATTCCCCAGTGCAGTTCCCCTCCCCCAATTCCCTAATAAAATATTAAAAAAAAAAAAAAGAAAATTCAACCAAGTTCTTTGTGACTTTGTGTCCACTCTGGCATGGGGGGGCTGCTGTGGACTAACACTGCAGATCTAGCTTTGAAAGTAAACTTGGCCACCACCCTTTTTTGGGAAAGGGAAGAGCCTGGAAGGGAGAGGGGAAAAATGACCAGGATTAATAAATAGCCTCAGGGGTCCTACTGAGTGGGGAGCCCATGCATGACTAAGCCGGAATTGGTGGCTGTCCTATGACTTCCCCCTTTCGAGGCACTGGGGCTCCTGACACCACTGGTATTTGGTTCCCCTTCTACTCAAGCAAGGGTCTGGTTACCTCCCTTGTCCCAAAGTTCTCAGTCCTTCCCATAGGGCACAGGTTATGAATTCAAATGCCTTCAAACATGAATGTATGAAAGGTCAGGCATGGGTAACAGGCAGTGGTGGAACGCTCCTGCGTCAAACTAGAGAGTGCCTAAAGGCATGCACTTAAAAAATTTTTAAATATCATACTGGCCAAACAAATCATAGCTACCAGATCAGGCCTGTGGCCACTAGTATGAAACTCAAACAGCCTAGATGAGATGAAAACAGACCTGCACCTGCTCCTTATGCATGCCTGTGCGTGTATGTGTGTGCGCAGACACACACACACACACACACACACACACACACACCTGTATCAGTGCTCCGGGCACTTTAAAGAGTCAAATTGCTGCTTCTTGCCTGTGTTGTGGACCCAGGGTGAGTGGGTTCCCATAAGCTGTGAAGTTAGCCGGCAGTCCCTTTCCCTGATGCTGTTTCCTCCAGTCCCAAGCCACCCCCTCCAGATCCCTTGGACCCACAGGCCATAGAGGCTCTATACTGACTGCTGGACTGGAAGGGGCAGTCAGAAGGAGGAGCAGCTATAGACATGCTGCCTGCAGCACGCCCTGTGCCAGGGCAGAGACCTCCTTACACAGGCTGTGAGTTTAAAGCCGGAGGGTTTTGACCAGCTTAGGGTACTAGTGAATTTACGTGAGGAGAGAAAGATGGGAGAGGACAATGGATGTCTGCGAACAGTCTGCAGAAACAGAGAGACTTGAGATTTGAGACCCAGTGAGCAGGAGAGAGCTTGTGCCCCTCCAATGTGCAGAACTGCCGACAACAGAAAACACTGCTCTCCGGGCTGAAAGGACAAAGGTTGTACAGCACAGAGCATTCTGGGGAGGCGACAGGCAGCTGAGAAGCCTGACTGGCTGCCACATGTCCTCTGCAGCTGGGCTGCGCCAAAGTAAGCCGCCTTTCTTGGGGAGCCCCACCGGGACCATGGGGAGAAGGCTAAGGGAAGTATTTGGGTTCCAGAGGATGAAAGCTTACATAAGGAAGGAGAGCTGTTCAGCTTGTCCATCCATCCTGAGGGCAGGGGTGAGGGCACTTTCCTCCTGATTGTAAAAGGGTGCTCAGGCGGTCTGAGGTAGTGGCCTGGGGAAATGGCACTGCTCTGATCTGCCACCAGAAGGCAGCAGAGAGCACTATGCTGGACCCAACTCTGGCTCCCCAGTCTCATTGAGAGCAATCTGATTGAAGCAGTTTCTCTCCATCCCTTTCTCCTCTACCTCCTTCTTTACCCACAATCTAGTCCAAGAAGGGTGAACACAGGGGCGTGGGCCATTCCAGGGGGAGGCATAAGGGAACTGCCAGAAGCCAGGAGTCTGGACACCTGCTTGTGCGCAGTGTGCCACAAGCTGAGAAGCACCTACGTATCTAAGCAAAGGATGGTGGGTGTTCTGAGGATGGCCTGGGGCTGTTGGGCATGGAACTCAGCCTCACCATAGATTTTTACTCTGGCCATGGGCATTGGCTCTGGGTGACATCTACCTACGCATCAGTCCCCCCAGGGGACTTCTCTTCTTCCAGCTCTCAGGTCCTGCCCCAGGGAACTGTTCTGTGGGGCCTACCTCACTCCATTCCCCCTCCTCCCTTCCCTTCTGAACACAAGTCCTGACTTCCTCCTCTAGAAAGCCTTCTTCATCCAGGAAAGAATCCCAATGATTTAACAGAGACATGGGGAGAGGAGCACCCCGCCACACACACACACACACACACACACACACACACACACAACCTCCCCTCTGTGGGAGACCAGAGGGCTCTTGCAGACCCCAAAGCCTCCACTGAGGGAGGAGAGATGGAAAGTGGCAAGAATGAAGGGTCCAGAGAGGAAATCTGGTCAGATGAGTAGGAACTGGCAGAGAAATGACTGGGGGGGAGGGGGGCACTAATCTGAGGAAAGCTGCTCACCCCTTTCACAGAAGAGGCCTCTCTCCCTCCCACCTGAAGACAGTGTAACTGAAACAAATGGGGTGAGGTAAAGAAGGCTAACCCACGGGGCAGGCTATCCATACAAGTTTGTTAACTAAGGCACGAGGGTGTAATGGGAAACACACTGGCCTGAGAACCAGAATACCAGGTTCTAGTAGTAGTGCTGAGGAGCTGTGTGAACTTGAAAAAGTCACTTTGTCTCTGGTCCTCATCCATGAAATCAGGGGTTTGGATAAAAGCAGGGTGGAAAATGGAGCTGCCTGGAGCACTGATTATGAGGTGGGAAAGAATCTGTGATTGATTAGCAATGTCTGTCTTGGGTATATGTCATATGTATGACACAATTGCAAAGTTCAGGGATCATCTCTAAGTCCCTTCCATTCGAACACCCCATGAGTTGGTGACAACATTGCAAGATGAGTGTGGAACTAGGGCTAGAGCTAGGAACACCTGGAGAGACTGCCTCCTGGGAAATTCAAGACCATGATGGCATGTTAAGGTTTGCCTCCTCGCTGTTTCTCTAGTTCCTTCCCCATGGGCTCCAGAATGCTAAGCCCAGGACCCCCACTAATGGAATGTCAGAATCCAGTGTGGTGCGTTCAGTTACCATTTCCAACATAGTGTGTTCCATCACACTCTCGGAATCAGATCATGATATGTATTCCAGTTGGCGCTATCCTCCCAATGCACAAATATATTAATAGTAAGCGCTAACAGGAAACATCCCCGCAGTGGGAGTCCCCTCACAGTGTAATGTGTTATAATCAGATGGTGGACTCCAAAAAGACCACCCTCCTTTATAAATAAGATGGGTGTCCCAACAGGGAGTCATTTCATAGTGTGACATGTTCCAGTGGAACCATCGTTAGCCCACCAGGAGGAGCTGCTCCAGCTGAGGAGAGGAAAGGCGTCTGGTCTCTGGCTGGGGGTGCCCACAGACATTGCAGAGGCTCTCAGCAGGGCCGTGGTGGAGACAGGAGAAGGTGGCCCTGACCCAGGTTCTTGGCTGAGTAGTCACCTCACTTCCAGCCACATCCTACAAGTGGGTCTCTGTCTCCCCAGTTGTCAGTCCCTCCTTCATGGAGAAAGGCTCACAGTCCTGGCCAATGCCTCCATCCAGACATAGGTGTTGCTTGGGCTGTGGCAAGCTGGGGTCAGGGGTGATGAGCTGTCTCAGACGCTGTGGAGAGAAGAGGACGTAAGTGGGTGTTGTTGGTGAGAGAGACACAGATGCTTACTCATGTCTGTATCTCAAGGGCCCAGCACATATGGAGAAGGCTCAGTACCATATGAATGAATGAATGTGTCATATAACACGGTGATTAAGAGTATGAACTTTCTGGGTTCCACGCCTGGCTCTGTTACCTGTGCAATCTTAGGCAACCCATTTAATCCCTCTGTGCCTAATCTATAAAATGAGAATAATAAGAGTACACACCTCCAAGAACAGTGCCTGACAAGGGTAAGTTATAAATAAGTATCATTTTTGTTATTATTATTACTATTTGCCTTATTATTACTATTATATGCTCAATAAGCATCTATAATTATTTTAGTAGTAGTAGTAGTAGTAGTAGTAGTAGTAGTAGTAGTAGTGGTACACTACTATCGTTGTTGGTGTTTTTGCTTTCATCTCCTTGGCCTCATTCTTGCCTTGACTGCTGATGTGATGACTGGAGTCATGACAACCTTCTTGGGACCATGAGGTGATGAAAACACAACATGCTTACAATGGAAGTGCAGGAATATAGGAAGAGTCTGGTCCCTAATGGCCTCGTTAAACAGCTGAACCAAATACCAGCAACCCCTGACTCGGTCTTCTTGATATGTAAGAAAAAAATAAGCCTATTTGCTTATTGCAGGTTGGGTTTTCTGCTAAGCCAGACAGATTTCTACAGATGTAATGTCTTTGTGGGACAGTGGCTAATACCCTTCCAGGAAGGCATGCCCCACCTCTAAACAGGGAGCCTTTGCATGTGGCTCCCCAGCCAAGGTTAAGATAAGAAAAGAAGCCAGCAGACTAGACTGTGTGTGGAATGAACCATCGCTAGTTATTAGTTTCCTGGGAGCAAGGAATCTGTGCCCCATAAACCTCTGTGTCTGGGCCCATTTATGTCCTTGTTTGTGACTTAGTTTCCCCTTAACTCTGACAGTTTACCCTTGGTTAACTTGCCCAGATGACCTTCTGGAGATCAGATTCTGAAGGTCCAGGACTCTGGGACTTTTGAGTGTTTCAGAATGAAACTATTGGACAGGTCTTCAAAAACCCTTCTTTTTAAGGTCCCATTAGGCTGTCCCACATTCAGAGGTGGGCCCCCAAATCCCACCTCTCTCACTACCCTCTTTAATGCATCACTTCCCCCAGCCCCCTACCCTACCTTCTTGAAGGAACCCTGAGTCTTCAGGAGGGTCACGATGATGAAGAGTGGGACGCAGGCCATGGAGGAGAGAGCCAGGAACCAGCCAATGGAGTATCCCCAGGGAGGGTACACATAGATATTGTTGTATTTGAGAGGTGTGTACTTGGTCAAGGAGAAGAAGAAAGTAGCCTAGAAAGGGGAGGGGCAGGCACAGATGAGATAGAGAGCCATTGAAACTCTCTCCTCAGCTACTTAAATATCCAGTGATAGGAGAAGTTAATCACACTATGGTTCATCTATGAGGTGGAATAGTAAAAGCCATTTGCAAATTGTGGGCCCAGGTATCACTCACATCGAAGACTGAGACAGGAAGAGATATGAAGGAAGGGAGGGGAGATGGAGGAGCTCTGTGCAGACAAAGAGACCAACGCGTGGGAAATCAGGCAGATGGCTAGAGATGCTGTGAGAACGGGGTGGAGAAAGAATTAGAATAGATTATAATGATGATTAAACAAACAGATGGAGAGATGGCCCCAGAAAAGAAGGGCAGGGGAACCACCACATCAGAGGGAATGGACCAGACTCCCAAGGTCCCTGGATTGGCAGGGATGGAGCCCCAGGGCTCAGGCCTCCTGTTCCTCATGTCCCCATGTCTGCTGGATGCAGGAGACAATAAAGGGGTAGCTGGATGGGCACATACCAGGCAAAGTCCAGGGGTCAGGAAGAGCCAGGAGATCTTCACCAGGGGCCATGGCCGGTAGCCAATCATGTCCTCAATGTTGTCATAGAAACGATCTGCCCCTGCCCAGGCACAGTGGGGGAGAGTGAGCACAGAAGAATAGGGACAGCTCATGGGTATCTGGGAGGGGCTCGCCTGGTTTTGTGCTTTTCCCCCCACCCTGTGAAGGGAAACTGGATGAGGACACGTGACTGAGATGGGTCCCTGGCACCCCAGCCACAGTGCAGGGAATAAGGAGGAGGAAGGAACTGCCAACCACAAGCTGGGGGCCCTGGGGGGAGTCACCCAACCTTCCAGTGCAGTCTCTTGTCCTCCTGCCATGGGATGAAGACACCACTGTCCTAACCACAGAGGATGGTGTGAGCCTAAAATGGGTCTCAATGCTATATGTATCTGCATAGCAAAGATGAATTTAGTTTCAAGTCAAAACGTCAAACAGCGAGTGTGCGACTGCTCTGTCAGAGCACGCTAAGCTCGTATAGGACCAGATCACTACTGGAAAAGGACAGTGACAGCGACCAAGGCTCTAGACTCCAGAGGAAGCACCCTGCATTCTCAGTAAAACATGGTGAGAGGGTTGATCTATGTATGTGCAAACACTGACTGCTTTGTTTGATTTTGTTTAACTGCCTCAGGGTTTCACAATTGCTGTCTTCTATGAAGTGAAGAGCTCCCGACAGGTAAAGACACTTGGAGGACCCCTCTAGCCTCCCTTCACCAAAAAAAAGTACCTTCCCTCTGGTGACTAAGGCAGGAAATGCCACCATTAAAGAATCATTCTTGGGCCAGCTGAGTTGGTTAAGAGTTGGCTTGGGAGCACCAGCTCTGAGCAGCAGGGCCCCAGTTCAGATCCCACATGAGGACCAGTGACGCTGCGCCCTCTACAGCTGAGATGGTGAACAACAGCTCAACCTGGAGCTGGGCTGCTGTGAGTCACCGGCAACGGCGTAGGCTGCAGCCCCTGCTGCAGTGAGCTGCCGTAAGCTACTATGAGTGGCTGGCAGCCGGTGTGAGCAGCCGGCAGTCAGTGTGAGCTGCCGTGAGCTGCCGTGAGCGGCCGTCCAATGGCCGGCGAGCGACTGCCTCACCCGGGAAGAACTCAATGTTAATACGAACATGGGCCAGAGAAGCGACGTCCTCCACAACTAGACTGAAGAACAAAAGGACAGTAGCTTGTCTGTTCCCTTTCCCCAATTCCCCAATGCTGTTCCCCTCCCCCAATTCCCAATAAAATCTTAAAAAAAAAAAAAAAAGAATCATTCCTTAGGCTTCCCCAGTTGAAAACCAGATGCTGCTGGGTAGGTGTACCATGTTATCAGCCATTTCCACTTCATTGCGGTTGAGTTTATCAGATCCTCTCTGAGAACAAGTTTTGAAGAGTAACGGGAAAATCAAGAAGACATCAGATGCTCCAGTGAGAAGGAAGGAGACATCTCCAGAGAGAGGAAAGGGCACCAAATAGGAAGGCTGAGAGCAGAAAAATAAAAGCTTTCCTTCTTGTGGCTTGTCCTGAGGCCCCAGTATGTGGCACCCCTTACCCTCTCTGCTCTGAGCCCTGTGACATTGGCAGTGTGACCCCCCAACCTGGTGCAGTGGAGGCAGATGGACCTGGGGTATGATGATGGCTTCTCCACTTACTAGCTGTGTGAGCTCAGGCAAGAGCCGTAACCTCTCTGAGCCTCATGTCCCCCCAGTAAAGGGCTGCTGTGCAGATTGTGAGATAGCGTGTGACACAAGCAGCACAGTGCTTGCACATAGCAGTGCGTTGGCTCAGTCACTAACGGTTTCTCCCCTTACTGTTATCAGACACAATAACAGCATGGGTATTATGGCATTCAGCACTGGGTAATTACCTCAGAGATGAGGGGCCAGGGCTGTGGGGAGGAGTCAGTGGAAGGCACAATTCACCTCAGTGTAAGCGAGAAATACACAATAGACACAATGGGAAAGGGACCTCAAACACCAGGAATGACTTTCCTGTTCATGAAGTATTCAAGCAAAGTCTGGGTGATAACTTTGGAAGGGGATGTGGGACTCTGTGGAGGACCAGACTCGGTGGCCCTCAGAGGATCTGACTAGGACTCCCACTGGGGAAGGACCTCTGGCAGCCTCTATCAAGAAAACTGTCAACGGTTATGTATCACGACCCTCAACATTCAAGGAACTCGGTGTTGCCATTATCCCCCTCTACCTGCGTCATGAGAAATGCCTGGGTCCCCAGCGAAGGATAAACTTCCCAAGTAAAAAGAACCAGAACAGTAATACAAAACATATAGAAACCAGGGGCTGGCACAGCCTGTCTCATCCAGGGCACATCCCACCAGAGCTGGGTTCCAGAGGCTCTTCCCCCAACCCAGCTTACCATACACCCAGCTGATACAGATCACTTCAAACATTGCGAGGAAGAGCAGGCATATGCCACTGGAGGCGTAATAATCAAACAGCTGGAAGATATACATTCCACCCTGTGGAGAAGGGGGTGGGGTTGAGCCTTGGTGGGAGGGCAAACACCCATCTGGTGCTACACTGCCCAGCCCATGGAAAGTCACCCTTGCGTCTAAAAGGAGTTTGCCCTGCCTCTCCCTGCTTTCCAGCCCCTCATGTCACATCCATCTCTGGCATCTGCGAGAACACTGGGGACGGTGGTGGACATACACTGTTTGGTCTGCCCAGCATCCCTCTCCCTGCTCCAGGCCTAAAGAAGAGTCATGGCTGGACTCTGGCTATGCTCTCAGGAAGAGGGTGCTCTTGCTCCTCTGGGGTTGCATGGGTGGCAGAAAGGAAGGCTGAAGATGCATCAGTCTTCTCTAAAATCAGGAGGGCAGGGCCGGCCGAGTGGCGCGATGGTTGAGAACTCGCTTGGGATGCCAGAGGGCCCCGGTTCGGATCCCACATAGGAGGGCCAGTGACACTGCCCTCTACAGCTAAGATGCTGAACAACAGCTCAACCTGGAGCTGGGCTGCCGTGAGTCGCCGGCGACGGCGTGGGCTGCAGTCCCTGTGGCAGTGGGTTGCCATGGGCTACCGTGTGTAGCCAGCAGCCAGCGTGAGCTGCCAGCAGCCAGCGTGAGCGGCCAGCAGCCGCAGTGAGCGGCCGTCCAGAAGCCGGCGACTGATCTGCCTCGCCAGGGAGGAGCGCAATGATGGTGCCAACTTGGGCCAGTGAAGCAGTGTCCTCCACAACTGGATTGAAGAACAAAACGACAGCAACTTGTCTGTTCCCCTTCCCCTAATTCCCCAGTACTGTTCCCATCCCCCCAATTACCCAATAAAAATCTTTAAAAAAAATTAAAAAATTAAAAAAAAATAAAATAAAAAAATAAAATAAAATCAGGAGGGCAATCTGGCTAAGAATGAAGTCACTAGAGGAAAAGGAAGCCAGGAGACAGACAGGAGCGTTTCTGACCAAGTGGATCCAACCATACCTGAAACAAAATATGTCTCCTTGACCCCCAAAATTGCCCTTCCTGCTTAAGCCAGCTTGCGTTTGGTTTCTGTCACCCAAAACCAAAAGAGGGCAAACTAACAGGCACATTCCACGGTGTGGTCCCTACAGACTCCCTGTGAGGGTGTCACCAGATGAGGAAAGCGTGGCTCGGAGAGGGGTCGGTGGTGCCCCCCCATGGCTCCCTCCCCGGAAGTCTGGCCTGCAGGCCACCGGCCCTGCTCACCTCGGTGACCAGGAGAAGCCCTATCAGGTAGCACATGACGGCAATGGTGAGGATGAGGAGCTCTCGCCTCCCACTCTTCCGGAGCTGGCTGGGGAACATGTCCATGGAGGCCGTCACCAGACACTCCACACAGACAAACTGTGGGCCAGGAAGGAAGTGAGGTGAGAGGGGCCACCTGCCCTTGGGCCTTCCCCAGCACAGCCCTGCCGGGCTTCCCCTCACCCCATTTGCTATGCTGAAACAGGGAGGGCCTATCGGGCAGAAATGGGGGGTGGCCAGGGGTGAGGCCAGCCCTGCCCTTGGCCATGTCTCCACAACAGAGGGTCCCAGCAGTGAGCATTGGAGAAGGGATATGTATTCTGTCTCCAAGGCTACGGGGCCAGGGTGGGCAGCTTGAGCTAGCGGAGAAACATTTGGGAGGGTGCATCCATGTATGGGAAAGGGTCAGGCATGGGAGAACAAAGTTCTTACCAAAGAGGGCCTCGAGGCCTGGGGTCACCCAACTCACCCCCAGGACAAGCTCTGGACAGCAGACGGGGCCTCAGAGTGTATGATCAGGAGAAAGGGAGTTAGGGGGAAGGTAATGCCAGGAAATGAGAAGTGGAAAGAGGGTCACCAGGGCAGGGCTGGGGTGACGAACCTGACTGTCCAGCCCTAGGAAGATAAGCATGATGAAGAAAAGGCAGGACCACAGCTGGGATAAGGGCATCATTGTCACAGCCTTGGGGAATGCGATGAAGGCCAGACCAGGACCTGCCGGGACACAGCACAATCAGGTAAGCCCAAGGCTCTTGCTGTCCTCAGGGAAGGGCCCTCTCCAGAGGCTGTGTGTGTGTGTGTGTGTGTATGAATGTGCTGTGTAAGTGTGTGTGCGTGTGTGTGTGCGTATAGTGGGGTGGTTCAAGAGTGCAGGGTGACTGCATCCATTACCCTGCTCCTCAGGTTCTGGGAAGCACGCTGCTCATTCCTCCATCCATTCCTCCATTCATGCATGCAGCAGTGGACCCAGCCAGCCAGCCTCCTCTCCCCGTCCCTGCCATGGTTACGGAGGCCCTGCTCTGTGCCAAGCACTGCTCCCAGATGCTGAAAGGGTCATATGACCCCAGCCTTTCTGTAAGAGGATCTGCGTTCTCTCACCCTCCTTCCCCTCACGTCCCAGACAGCAAAGTGGCACCTACCTGACTCGGCCACCTCAGCGATGGGCACCCCCTGTTCTTGGGACATGAAGCCCAGGATGGAGAAGACCACAAACCCAGCCATAAAGCTGGTGGCACTGTTCAGGAAGCAGAGGGCGATGCAGTCCCTGCAGGTGGAGTGAACGCAAACACAGCAGGAAGAACAAGGGAGAAAGAAATCCATCGCGCGAGGAGAGATCAGAGGACAGTAAGAGCATAAAGAGGAGATAGAAAAGAAAGAGTGAATGGGAAGAAAAACAGGGACAGAAAAAGACAAACATTGGGTTTCAGAAGGTGAGGAGAATAAAGGGCGAGAGAAAAGGGAGGAAGAAAGAAATTCAGTCTGTGAAATGAACCCACAATGTCAATTTGACACAACTTGTAACTCCCAGATAATAAAGGAAGGAGGCCTGGGCCCACCCCTGGGAGCCGCCCTCCTTAGACCATGGGCAGACAAGGTCCCCCCATGGGGCCCCCAGCCCGGCGTTGCTACCTGTAGCAGTTGTTGTGGTACTTGTTGTAGCTGCCCAGGGCCGTCAGGCACCCCTGGCAGATGGCGAAGGAGAAGAAGATCTGAGTGCCCGCGTCCATCCACACCTACGAGAGACCCGAGAAAGTGGTGAGAGAGAGCAGAGGGAGCCCCACAGGGCCTGGAGCTGGGTCACCAGAGGCCCAGACCCTTCACCCCACAGGGCCAGGTGGCCTGCTCAGTGCTCCCTGACAGTCACTTATACCCCAGTGCTCCTTTCACATGTCTTCCTCTCACGGGCAGGGCCCATTTGTAACTTCATTCTGAGGGCACTTAGTAAGCACCAAATATACGCGTTACTTAGATATCTTTAAGAAGGTGAGGCTCTCTGCTGGGGGAGTGAAGAGGCACTTGAACCTCATTCAACAAGTAGAGTGTGCCTTAGGCAGCCATGCTGGGGCACAGGGGCCATGCCATTGAAATATAAAGGAAAAAAAATCAAGGCTCTTGGGTGGGAGGGTGGGTGGGGGAGGGGTAGAAGGGTGGAGGTGAAGAATGTGTTCAGACAAGTCCTAGAGGAAGAAACACAAATGGTAGATAAATATGTGGGGAAATGTCCAACCTCCCAGTAGTAACAAAGAAAAAAAATCAAAACAACAACATTATACTATTTTGACCCCACTGCCCTACACCAGCACTACAGCACTTCCTGGCACGTAACGGGGTCTCAGTGCATTTTGGTTGAATTAATGAATGAATGGTGGATGGATGGAAGGGGGAAATATTATGCAAGTGTTAAAAATGACATTTACAAATGAACTTAATAATATGGAAAATGCTTATAATTTAAGTGAAAAAAGTATCTATCTATCTATATATAATTATCTCAACTATATTCAAACACACACACACACAGAGGCTAGGGAAAAAAGAAGGAAATATACTAAAATGCTAACAGAGATCGTAGCTGAGTGGTAGGATAACAAGAGATTTTTAGTTCCTTTTTCATAATTTTCTTCTATATTATTTAATTTTTCTTCAGTGGGCATCTATTGCCTTTAAACCAAGGGAACGCAATCAAAGATTTTCAAAAGTACAAATCTGGCTTAGGGTGAGGGACATCTGGGGAAATGGTCCTCAGCACAGTTCCTACCTGGGGATCCTTCAGACGAGACAAATCTGGCTTCAGGTAATAGATGATGCCCTCATAGGCTCCGGGAAGCGTGATGCCTCGGACCAATAGGATGATCAGCATCAGGTAGGGGAATGTGGCTGTGAAATAAACAACCTGGAGAGAAAGCAGGCCGAAGTCACTCCTGGTGGGGTCACAACAGCCAGGAGGTTACAGGGAGTCTGCAGTGGTCCTCCTGTCACCCCTCCCCAGGCAGCATGGGCCACACCTAGCTCAGTGTCCGACACCTTCTTAGAGACATCAGAGAGGGGTGAGCACACGAAACTTTCCACACCTTCCTTTCCACATTCCAGTGGGTCTCTGGTCCCCCAGCAGAGTGTGAGATACACATCAGCAGGGCAAGGGGGGAGGAGGAAGCGCAGGGAGGGGTACAAGTTTCCAGCCGTAGCATTCCAAAGTGTTTTTAAATCTAGAATCTGGTCTCCCTGAAACCTTTATCTGGGCTGTTCTCCCCCGTCCTCTGGGGAGGGTGGGCTGCCCCTTCACCAGGGGGAGGACGAGCAGATTTGTACAGTGGTCTGTGAGGCCGTTTTTCCAGGCTTGAGGTTGGGGGAGCAGAAGTGGCCTAGGCTCTGGGATACTGGAGACACTCAGAGGTGACGCCACCCTGCCCCTGACCAAGCTCAGCTGTTTACCCAAGGTGGTGGCACTATCCATGTTATTATTGTTACTATTACTATTTCTGTCATTACTATTACTGTTATTATTATTTCAACAATCCACGGAAGGGGGAGGCTGCTGCAAGGGCCGGCTAATCGGAGAAGCCAGCACCTGTCCATCCCTGGCTTTTCAAAGCACGAAGCATCTGTCTCAGCTTCTCTGGGTTGGAAATAACACTCAAATCTGAACTCTCTCTGTACATGTAAGGCTGTACAGTCTTAGCTCTGACATGGAACATCTGCATTTCTTATTTTGCTCTGTATATTACTTACATAAACAGGTCTTTTAAAATCATAGTGAAAAAGAAAGGCTTTCCTTGTATTGAACTAAACTCTGCCTTTACAACTTCCCCTATTCTCACCGAGCCTCTCCCTTAAACTACACCTCTTTTTTTTTAGCTCTTCAGAGGGACTCTGAGTGTCCCCAGGGTCTCTGGGAGCCACAGAGAGCTTATCAGGAGCCAGGACACCTCACCTTGCCTGTGGTCTTGACCCCCTTCCAGATGCAGAAGTAGCAGATAACCCAGGCAAGCAGGAGGCACAGGGCCAGCTCCCAGCGCAGGGCCCCCAGGTCGTGGATGCCTGAGGTAATGCCCAGAACACGTCTCCTGATGGGTTAGAAGAAAATAACCAGGTGAATGGCTAAAGGAGACAACTGGCCTCTGTCATCAAGTCTCCTGATTCTTAGAGCTGACCCCACAGATCTCATATTCTAGGCTTCCCGCGTCCCCACCCCACTCCACCTCTCCCATGGCCATGCAATGTTCCCACCTGTGGTCTGCATGCCCCTGGCTGTTAGAAGACCGAATCACATAATACCATAGGTATCTTTGTCTTTCTAACTCATCCAGATTTCTCTGTTGTACAGAGAGAAAGAGAGATGTGTGTGAGGAATGTAAATATTTATATATCCAGGTCAATGAGCAAGTATATGGGTATCAAAAGGAGGTGCTGAGTGTGCGATAGTATCTAAAGATGTGTATGAGGGTGATGGAAATGTATGTGAGAGAGTGTAGGTGGACATAAGTGGGCACAGGTGGATGTGAGGGTATAAGTGGTCATGTGGGAGGGTGAATGTGAGTGTAGAGTTTGCCAATTTCTGTGGTGTAAATACTCCCACCTTGGCCAATATGACATGATTGAATATAGAGTTGGGGAGAGATGTGCACAATCCGCTCTCCTAAGCTGTTCCAACTATTTCCAGTACACCAGTGGATATGTGTGGGTAGGTGTGGGGAGTACAGGGGGATGTGAGGGTGTAGGGAGGCATGCATGAGAATGCCACTTGACATGCATAAATGTGTGAGTCTAGGTGAACATAAGTGGATTTGGGGGGCATAGGCAGACAACTATGGTAGATGTGTAAATGTTCCCTCATCTTTCAGTGATGTGTGGGGTGGGGGTAAGTGCTGGAAAACATGCACAGAGAGCCTTAAACTTGCACCCCAAATCCCAGGCAACAGACACCCAAATTTCCTCTGGTTGAGGTCCCCTGGCATGTGGCAACCAGGCCCAGCACCTACTCCCAGAATTCCATGACAGGCGATGTGAAGTTCTCAGAAGGCATCACTGTGTTGGCCCTTGAGTGGTTCAGAAAGTCCATGCAATGCTCTGTCAGGGACAAAGCGAGGAGTGCATCAGCTAATGACAAGGTGGGGAGAGATGCCCTCACACCCTCATCCCTGCTGGCCCTCTGGCCTTGCAGCCCGGTGGTCCCCATCATCCCCAGTCCCCAAAGCCTTCTTTGGAGCCCCCACTTCTAGAGTGTCAGGAGTTGGCTGCTCAGGTGGTCACGGGACCAGCCCCCTCCGTCTGCTCATTCCACCCTGCCAACCTCTGACCCAATCCAGACTTCAGATGCACTCTGCCCCTACGTGGGTGGCTTGTGGTGACAGAACTCTGTCTCCTCTCAACAGTCCAGGGACTGAGTTCTTATGCCTGCCCCACCCCAGGGGGAATGCTGTTCACACGGTGGGCTTTTTCTCATCCTTCAGCCCTCAGCTGGCATTCTTCCCTCCCATCGTTTCATAGTTACTGCACTATTTCTTTCATTCATCACAATTTGCAATGATTTTGTCAATTTGCCAATTTCCACCACTAGACTATATTGTTCAGTGAGCAACCTGGACCACGTTGCTTGTGTTCACCTTTGGATCTCTAGCACCTGGCACACTGCTTGGCACGTAGTAGGTGCACAGTAAACATATGTGAGATAGATGAATGGACGAGCGTGTGATGCTAACTAACCCCTTGCAGTTGTATAACACATTCACAGTCCCACTGGGTTTTCAGTTCCAGTGGTTGGTCTGAGGTGCTACAGAAGGGTCAGCCAGCAGAACCGGCACTAAAGGCTACATATCTGGGCTTGAAGCAAGTTCTGTCATGTGCTCTGTCAGAGTTTGCCCATCACCAGCCACCACGGCCCAGTCCCTAGGGAAGGCCCACATCCCAAGGGCTGAAACAATAGATACCTGTGTTCCAGGTATTGGTACAGGTTGTCCAGGGCAGCTGTGAGGTGAAGGAGCTGAACAGATAGAAGAGAGCCCAGGCGAGGATGATGATGTAGTAGATGTTCAAATAGGACTCAATGACCACCGACGCCAGACCAATGCCTTCCGGAGTGGGGGAGGGACGGGAAGAAGCGAGAGAATCCAGGAGGTAAGTGTCAGCCCCCAGAAAGCCACCTACAAGCTGCCCACTGTGATTAGAAAGATACTGGATGCTGCACAAAGAGAACCTCCAGGGTTTATTTATTGGTATGAGACACCATTTACAGCCTATTTTTCTAAGTAAGAAACATAGGTTACACAACACTATCCTACGCATCCTCCCAATTTTATAATATATATGTGAATGTGTGGTTTTTTTTCATGAGAAAAACTCTGGAAGGATCGTCATCCAAAAGTTAACAAGTGGTTCTCTAGGTGACAAGATTTGAGTTCACTTTTTTTTATAAAAAGATTTTTTATTGGAGAATCAGGGAAGGGGAACAGACAAGTTGCTGTCCTTTTTTGTTCTTCAGTCTAGTTGTGGAGGACGTCGCTTCACTGGCCCATGTTCGTATTATCATTGCGCTCTTCCCAGGTGAGACAGATCGGTCACTGGCCTCTGGACAGCCACTCACAGTGGCTCTTGGTAGCTCACACCAGCTTGCCAGCCACTCACTGTAGCTTTACGGCAGCCCACTGCAGCCTCACTACAGCCTACACCGTCGCCAGTGACTCTCGGCAGCCCAGCTCCAGGTTGAGCTGTTGTTCACCATCTTAGCTGTAGAGGGCGCTGCATCACTGGCCCTAATGTGGGATCCGAACCAGGGCCCTGCTGCTCAGAGCTGGCATCCCAAGCCAGCTTTTAACAACGTGCCACTCGGCCGGCCCTGAGTTCACTTTTTAAAGTTTTTTTTTCTTTTTGCCTATCTGCATTTTCTACTTTATTATTATAATCACACATAACTTGTAAAACGAAAAGGAAGAAAGGAGGAATAAATGGGGAGAAACTGGTAAGAATCAGTATCAAAATAGGAGCAAAACCTAGAAGAAAGCAACCAGGAAGAGAACTGTGGTCGCTGTCAAGAACTGTGGAGCCTGGGCCGGCCGAGTGGCTCAGTTGGTTAAGAGTCTGAGCTCTGAGCAACAGGGTCACAGTTTCAAGCAACAGGGTCACAGTTTCAATTCCCACATGGGCCAGTGAACTGCGATCGAGCTGAGCTGCTGCTGAGCTGCCAACAGGTGGCAGGATGACTCAGCTGGTGAGAGCATGTGCTCCTAACAACAAAGTTGCTGGTTTGACTCCTGCATGGGATCCGCAACTAAGATTAAACACAGCACCTTGAGATGAGCTTCCCTGAGCTGCCAATGGGTGGCCTGATGGTGACTGGACTTGGAGCTGAACTAGCTGCGCCCTCCACAGCTAAGAATGAAGGACAACAACTTGGCTGTTCCCCTCCCCCCAATTACCCAATAAAATCTTTAAAAAAAGAACTGTGGAGCCTGGTCAACCTCAATGCCATCTCCTGTGCAGAGTTGGAACACTTAGGAGGTTGGAGGTTTGGGTACATCCTGCATCCCAGGTGGGCATGTCTTGGGGTGGGAGGGGACAAGGGCAGGAGGAGTCACCCACCCACCCCACCTTCATCCTACCACCACTGTGGGATCTTTGCCACAGTAAGGTTAACAGTAGCCCATTGCTGGGGCAGCTGTTAATCCTGAGGTGTGAAAGCCGAAGGGGGAGGAGTGGGGTGGGGGCTCTGCCTGAGAGAAGACCTGCTTGTTTGTCCTGCGTCCGGGAAAATCCAGGCTCAAGAACTAATTGATGAAGAAGCCTGGAGAAAAACAGACAGCCAGAGCGCTGGTTGATCAAGCAACACTGTCAACAATGCCCTTCCCCCACCGGTGCCAGGAGCGGCCCAGATTGTCTGTTCCCACTGGCCTGGCAAACTCTGCAGGAGGCAGGAGGCAGAGACCCCGTGTGGGGTCTTCTGTGGAGCATCCAGGCCACTGGTGGTGGTGGTGGTGGTGGAGAGGGGGGCGACCCGGGACCGGGACAGCCTTGGTTTGGGTTGGGCCCCCGGGAGGAGGCGGGGCTGCTGATGGCGAGGGCTTCCGGGAGCTGGCGGCCTCGGGGCGGGGTATTTAGAACGCACAGACACCCACACAAAAAACAAGCGGCCACTGTGCGGCAGGAACGCGCTGTGCTCCAACCGCCTACGGGACCCAGGAACGCATCAACGCCTGGACCGCTAGGAGGCCAGGCTGGGAAGTGGCCCGCACATCTGTGAGGATGGGGATGAGGCCAGGGAGGAAGCCTGAGCCTGTATGTAAGTTGAGGAAGGAGGGAGGGTGTGGGTGAGCAGAGGGGTGTGTTTCCGCAGTGCCCTGCCCCTGTGCACTGGCTCGCTGGGAGGGTGGTTGGTCGAGAGGTGGTGGCACTTAGGCAGGTAGAGGGCAGGTAGTAAGCAGCCTGGATCTCCTACCAACCTAGGTGCACACCTCCTGAGTGAACCTCTCTCTGAGACCCTAGGCTTTGGGATCTCTTCAATTGGGAAAATAAGGAAGGAGCAGCAATTCCTTCCTCCAACCCCTGTTGTGGGCCAACCGAGTAGCCCCGCCCCCCACTAAAAGACGTTTAAGTTTTCTTTCCTATAGAAATGTTGTCTTCTCCCTAGTTTCTTAGCTCTTGGCTTTGATTACTTTTCTAACCACTTTGTGAATCCTAAAGATTGCTCCTAGCCTGAATCATAGAATTCTCCTATCCCCCTGCTTCTTGATTGTTTTGTGATTCAGCTTCTGAATCCTCAACAATAGATTGTTCACAGAAATCTCCTACCCTTGCTTCAGATAACTACTTGAAAGCCTGTGACTTCCTAATATCCTCCAGGCCAGTAAGCCTAATGATACTTTCCAAACCCATTCTGGGCCCACACAACTGACGCCACCTGAGTGATGGGCTGAATGGCCACAAGCTTCTTAAGAGCTAACAGATTTATTAATTAAAATCTATCTTTCCTCATTTAGGGACCTTGGGGATACAGATGACACCCCAGCAAGATTACCAGTCACAACCAAAGAAGCCAACACGGTCTTCCAGGCGGAGCTCGAGACCCCTCCTCCTCTTATCTGAGATCAGCTAGGGTGAGAGTTCCGTGAACCCTCAATAGGCAGGGACATCTCTATGCCCCTGCCCAGCAGGAAGCAGATACAGAAGACTGCCTATCCCTCAGCTTCCCATAGAGATTTTATGGGGATCACGTCTCTCAAGGGGAAAACAAGGCAGGCAGTTAGAGGCAGACATTGGGTCTCTGCATTCCTATACGTCCCACAGAGTGCGACTGCCCAGGAGACATCCCCTCTCCACCCAAAACTCCCCCTTTGAATTGTAATTACCTACCCCTGTGGGAAAACAAATGGGCACAAAATACCCAACTAGATCAGACCAGTCATTTGCACCTGCGCTGTACCTCTTGTCAATCACAGGTGCCAATTAAGTGGTCTCAGGCCCAAAGGGGAACAACCCATTCTAGAGAAAAAGGGATAAAAACTCCAAGTTCTGAGAAGTCCACCTTTTTTTTATTTACTGCTTCCCCTTTTTTAAAATTGCCTTCCTCCCCTTTTTTTTTTCTTCCTCCCTTTTTTGAACCCCGCCTTTGCACATGGCCCGCTCCAAACTCTTTGGAATGTAATTTCTCTTCTAATAACGGGCCCTTGAGCCATTCTCTACTGCTAGGGCCTACTTCTACTTCTTTGAAATGTACTATCTCTTCTAATACACTACTTTTTCACTACTTTGCTCCAGTATCTCGTTCAATTCTTTGCTCTAGTTGCCAAGGACCTGGACTTCGCGCCGAGAAGGGCCCGCTCTCCGACAACACATCCAATGTTCAGTTTGCTTGCCTTGTCCCTGGTTCCCCCCTGGCAGTTAGTACCTGTGTGCCAGAGGGGCCAGTCCTGCTTGTGCTACCCATGGGGCCAGAGCTTGGCCCTGGGGACAGAGCCCAGCTGGGTAGGAATTAGGTTACTGCCGGTGTCCAGAGCAGAACCTCAGAGCTGGTGCCTGGCTGAGGGTACAGAACTCCTGTGTAGAAACTTGGGTGGGCCTTTCCACCCTGCCAGTCCCTTACTGCTGCCCCTATAGGGGCCCATGGAGGCCCAAGAGGAATCAATACCAGGTTAGCTTGGTCCCCCTCCCACCCACTTCCAGCAGTGGTCAGGTTTCCAGCCTGCTCAGGAACCAGTGTCTCCCACCACGCCTGAAGCAGGCCCCAGTTAGGACCCCTGTAGTAGAGGCCTCGCAATGTCTCCAGCCTCACCTTTTCTTGACCTATAGCTTAACAACAGATCATCCGCCTGTGGCTTGAGCTGGGAAAGTACCCTGTTCCTATTCCCAGTTTTAGAAAATTACCCCTAAAAGTATGATTAATACCCTTAGGCTTATTGATCACAATCTCAATGGTCTAGCATTCTTTCCAGGCTACTCCCATCATTGTTCCTGGGTTGCTGACAGACCTTCACATAGCCTCTGGAGGAATGCCCAGATTTTCCCTTAAAAACTCCAAACTGGTCTGAGAATCTTAAGGTCGTTTGTGAAAGTGTTAACCTGCTGCCTTCTCAGACCACCAGTACCCTAGCAGCATAGGCAGCATAAGCCCCGGAATGAGCCCCGGACTCAGTTGCCCTCCGGTTTCATGCCCTCCTCTGTCAAGCCTACTAAGCTGGGCAGCAACCCCGGGTAGCCTAGTCCCTGGGGTGCCCTTAAGGACTGACACGAGAGGAAGAGTCCTCTTTCCATTTCAAATATTCAAGGAACCTCTCAGGGACAAGAAAATGCCTTGGGGTCCTGCCGAGTGGCTCAGTTGGTTAGGAGTTGGCTTAAGAGTGCGAGCTCTGAGCAGCAGGGCCGCTGGTTCGATTCCCACATGGGCCAGTGACGCTGCGCCTGAGCTGAGCTGTTGCTGAGCTGCCAACAGGTTGGCAGGATGGCTCAGCTGGTGTAACAACAAGATTGCCTGTTCCATGGTGGGCTATGCCCACCCGCAACTAAAACTGAACTTGGCACCTTGAGCTGAGCTGCCGCCTGGATGGCTCAGTGGATAGATCATGTGCTGTTAACAACAAGGCTGCTGGTTGACTCCCGCATGGGATAGTGGCTATGCCCACCTGCAACTAAGATTGAACACAGCACCTTGAGCTTAGAGGCCATGAGCTGCCTACAGGAAGCCAACTGGCGGCTGGCTGGCACCCTCCACAATGAAGACTGAAGAACAACTTGGCTGGTCCCCTCCCCCAACTCCCCAATAAAATCTTTTAAAAAAGAAAATGCTTTGGGTTTTTTTTTTCACTTCCCCCCTGGGGACTGGCCCAATCAACTTTAGAGGGGATGGGGGTGGGATGCCCCAAGCTGCTTGCTTTCCTTAGTGCCAACAGATGCACAGAGAGAGGACAGGAGTAGTCCCTAACATAAGAGAAAGCAAGAACTTTCAGCTCACGTAGACCTGGGTTCAAACCCTTAGCAAATGACCTCATTTTTCTCATCTACAAAGTGAAGTGACTAGAGCTATTCTTGGAAGATTAGATGAGGAAATGTACAGACAGTGCCAGCATGAGCCCTGGCACGTGGTAGGGCTCAACAGTTGTTAGACATCATCATCATCATCACTATGATTATATACTTCGGAAGTGCACCTGGGACACAGAAACTCATCTTCCATGAAGCTGCTGAAGATGAGGCTTCAGAGTTCCCCACTTGCAGGGACCCCCTTGCAAGGCTCTGCACGGATTTTTCATTTGTAACTTTACATTGTTTTTCTGGAGGAGCGCCTTCCTCCTCAGGATCTATAAGCTTTAGGCCCCACAAAGCCTGACTGTACTTCCTGTGTCCCTCACAGCACTTAGCACGGAGTGAGAGTGGATAAATGAAAGAAGTGGGGAGCGGATAGAAAGGGGCGATGGATAGAGAGATGGAGGCAGGCTGGTGGCCTGCAATGAGGTGAGTGAGGTAGAACACTCACCCTGGAGGAGAGGGCACATCTTTCTCCAGGCCGTGACGCTCCCCTGGCTGGTGTACTGGCCCAGCGCCACCTCCAGGAAGAACACAGGGATGCCGCAGGTGAAGAAGAAGATGAAGTAGGGGATGAAGAAGGCTCCTGTGGAGGAAGGGGAGACAGAGACTTAGCCTTTCAGCCCTAGGCCCCTCCAAGAGGCCTGTGCTCCAGCACCCAACATCCTTCATCGCCCTCCTCACCCCTCCCAGGGGCCCAAGTCGTCTTCCTCCTGTCTGCGCGTGGGGGCAAGCCAAAATTTTCCAGTCTGAACCCCACTCGGGCTAGGAAATATCTTTGAAGGGAAATGAAGGCAATTTTAGGTGAAAATCCTAATGCATGCACTATTTATTTTCTCAGTATGCTTCACAAATCTAGTCAATTTATTGTTTTTGGAACAAAAACATGTGTTCTGTATAATTTGATATGCTTATTAAATTATCAAGCTTGTTACATTTTAGAGAAAAACAAACAAAAACACCTTGGCAAAATTATTTTCCCTCTAATAGTTTTCAGAGGGTTTTTGCCCCTCCCCTAGGCTCTGATCTGAACTGGGCTTTCAGCAGAGGGCCATTCCTCTGCTCAGGCCCACTCTGGGGAACTGGGTTGTCAGCAGCCAGGTGATCCGGCCCCAGCAGGAGGCCTGGCCTAAAAGACAACCAGCAAGTTCTATGCCAAGGGATTCGAAGGCAACCGTAAGCCCACAGGACCCACTTTAGTCACTACAACATACACCTCACTTCAGAAGTGTACCCATGGGTGGACGGATTACTGTTTATTGCACAATGATAGCATTTAGTATTTATTTGGTGCTTACTGTGTGTCAGGCACTCTCCTAAATGCTTCACCAACATCAAAATCCTCACACAATCTCCCCTGGGGTAGGTACTATTGCCATATCCATTCTACAGGTGAGAAAACTGAGGCCACTTTACAGATGCAAAAACTGAGATACAAATGAGGAAAATGAGGCACAAACCCAGGTGATCTGATCTTGAGTCTGTGCTCTTAGCTACTACATTATAATGCCTCTCAAGTAATCCATATTACTTTGTAAAAAAATAGAAAGTACAAAGAAAAAAAAGGAAAAAGCATTATATAGCCTTCCAATTTCTTATAAACACAGACATATATATATTTCTTTTTTAAAAAGTGAGAGCTTGCTATATATTATGTGATAACCATTTAAAAATGTATCGAATGAACCTCTTTTCATACCCATGAATACATATCTGTGCCATCACTGTAATAGCTGTGTAGTGTTCTGCCTTATACATCTATCCAGGTTTATTTTGTCAGTACCCCTTTGGCCTTCTTTGTTGTTTCATGAGAAACCCTTTGTGATGAAGACCATTACCCACATCCTTGTACACTTGCCTCATTTGCTCCTTAGTATAAATTTCTGGTGGAGGAATTGATGGGTCAGAGGGTATGCACTTTTTTTTTTTTGCTTTTTTTTGGGGGGGAGGTAAATATATATAACATAAATCTTACCATTTTAACCATTTTTAAGTATACACTTCAGTGGCATTACGTAGATTCTCATAGTTGTGCAACCATCACCACCATCCATTCCCAGAACTGTCTCATCATCCCAAACTGAAATGCTGTACACCCGTCAAACACTCACTCCCATTCCTCCCTAGCCTCAGTCCCTGGCAACCACCTTTCTTTCTCTCTCTGAATTTGCGTCTTCTAGGCACCTCATATAAAATGAATCATACAGTATGTATCCTTTTGTGACTGGCTTCTTTCACTTAGCATCATGTCTTCAAGGTTCACCCATGTTGTAAGAGGTGTCAAATGTCCTTCCTTTTTAAGGCTGAATAATATTCCTGTGTATGTATAGACCACATTTTGTTTATCCGTTGATCCATGGACAGACACCTGGGTTCTTTCCGCCTTTTGAGTATGAACATTTTGTAAGGTCTTTGGCATGCATTTCCAAATTGCCCTCCAAAACTTGTGTACCATCTTATACCTATCTGCACTCCCAACAGCAATATGTGAGAGAAAGGACGAGGATTTGTGGGTCTCCTGGGCCCAAGGAGCCACGACAAGCCAGTAACTCTCCCCCAAGTTCTGAAGTCCTTTCTGACACCGCGTTTGCCTTTACATCCAGAATAGCGCTAGAGCATCAGTAAATATAGGGCTAATCAGCACCACTGACTGGTTTACGTGGCTTAGAAGGTGCAGGGGCTCGGCTGAAGGTAGTGCTCAGGGAAAGGGATGGGGCTGAGGGACATCTCAGCGCCCGAGGGCACTTTACAGAAAGTCTGTGGGGCACATGACCCTGAGGCTCCTTTCCACTGCTGCTTGGCGTGGTCCTTCCCCCCTAGTAAAACAGATGGCTTCAGTTCTATCCTTGGAATGTAGAGGACGGCTGACCTCAGGGGGCCTGGGGCTGGACTTGCCTCAGGCTGAGTCCAACCTGAAAAGGCAGGACTAGACCTGGGCCTCTGGGGACAGTGGGAGGGGACTGGGTCTGGATGGACCACAGGGGCGCCCTCCATCCTTGGCTTTCTCCCTGGCTTTCCACAATCACTGCCAGCGCCCTCCTCTCCAGTGAGCTTCTCAGAACCTTTACTCTGGGAAGTGATTCTGGCCCACAGTTCTCCTGGCACCTGCCCAGGCTATGGGCACAAGCAGCCTGTGATGCCCCACAGGGATCTGTGAACACAGGGTGACTGGAGGCCTGCATAAAAGTCTCCCTCCCTCTGTGCTAAGATACGCCTCATTATCTCTGCCAAGCTCTCTCTCCTAACCACTGGCAATCGGGAAACTTGGAATTTCATTAAACTCTCTTTTGGAATGAACCGTTTCTTGAGGATGGTGACTCCCTGCTTTTTCATAACCGAAGACATTATTAGATCAATAACTTTATGATTATCTTCCAACCCTTTTGAAAGGTTTACCTCTACAGGACTATGTATTAACTAATAATTAATTACTATATAATTAATTATTAATTAGTAATCAATTATTAACTAATGCTCAATTACTATATTAGTAAAAACTATATTTAACTGCCAACCAGGGCTTATGGTCAGCTTGAGATAAACCATATTACCACAATGAGTACAATTCTAGCCTAAAGCAAAAAATTGACATTTGGGTCAGTCTGGGAAGTCATGTTTCCACACAGATGTATTATTAAGTTGTCTTAAATAAGGAAAGTAATTCCTGGACCTTCATTATACCTTCCTAGACCCTCAAAGACCAGTTGCCCAAATTTGGACCCCTGACCTCGCTTGCCCCTCATGTTATCGTTGAAGAGAACACGATAGAGGGAACGGCAGCCTGTCTTCCCAAATAGTTGGATTGGGGCAGAGCTGAAGTGAGAACATGCGTGATAGAGATGAACACAGAGCCTGCGCAGTACATGTAACCTGGTCCTGCCATTTCACAGATGACACAGGCTCAGCTCAGTGGCACTGCACACTATCAGAGGCGCTTGTCTCTCCACCCTGCCCCACGACCACTACAGAGGTCACGGCCACAGCTGTAGCCACCAGGCAGGACAGAGGCAGGGTGGGCGCTGGAACCCAAAGCCATGTCTCCTGAGCCCTCATCCTCCCTCGCTTGCAGATGGCCAGGTGAGATGCACGCAGTGATGTGAAGGCCAGCGAGTCTGGCTCCCCAGGCCCACTGCTCCCAACCAACTCTGAAGTCTTGGGCAAGTCGCTAAACTCTCCGACCCTCCACACCCTCCTCACTGAAATGAGGGCTTGGCCGAAATCATCTCTAGCTCTAGTTCTAACATCTTATGTGTCCATGAAACTGGCCTGGGACAAAGAAATAAGTCATCTCTGTCCCAGCATTAGTCTCACGCTCAGTCTTGGCTTCTGAACCCTGAGCGGCCCAGGAAATCCCATTTCTATTTCTTAGGGGTCGTTGGTTCAAGCAGTTTAAAATAATAACTGTAAGCTTTAAAACAAGGAGCAAGATACATGGTAGATGTTCAGCAAATATTTGTCAAGTTAAATATAGTGTTTAAAAGCATTTTCCAAACAATGGTTATCTTTACATGGGAATGTTTCTTTTTACCTCCTGGAATGTTTCTAATATTCATTATAAACATACACTGTTTCCACAAGAAGAACACAGGTATTTTCAAAAGGCAAAAATGAATTTGGCCAGTCACAAATAAATTCATAGAAATAAATTATTTCATTTATGTGAAACATCCCAAATAGGTAAATCCATAGTAGATTAGTGGTTGGCAAGGGCTGGAGGGCAGAGGGAAGGGGAAGTGGCTGTTAACAGGTACAGGACTTCTTTCGGGGGCGATGAAAATATTCTAAAATCAATGGTAGTGGTGGTTGCACAATTCTGTGAATATACTAAAAACCATTTAATTATACAATTAAAAAGATTGTTATGGCCCCTCCCTACCATGCCCCTGCTCATTTTTACTACCAGTACTGAAAAATAATAAAATTATGTTTCTTCAATTTATAAAAATCATAGACAAGATCATATTGTTTCTCTAATCAAAATTCCTCAGTGGTTCCCCTCTCACTCAGAGCAGAGCCTATAAGACCTGAGCCCTGTTACCTCTCTAATCTCATCTCCTATTATTCTCCCCATCTGTCATTCCCCTCCTCGCTGTTCCCCAAATATGCCAGTTGCACTTTCACCCCAGGACCTTTGCACTTGCTGTTCCCTCTGTTTGGAATGTTCTTTACCTGATATTCATCCACAAGTCTCATTCTGTTGCCTCCTTCAAGTGCTTACTCAAATGTCACCTCCTTAACGAAACCTTTCCTGGTACCTTATTTCACATTTCAAACCCCTTTCCTCCAACCCCTGACCCAGCTTTCCCTATTCCTCCTCCTGGCTGAGTTTCTCACCATTCCACTCATCACCATGTGACATGCCACATATTTTACTTATTTGTCTGTAATCTGCCACCCTTCACTAGACTATGACAAATGGAATATGTCCTGTTTTGGATCTAGAACAGTGCCTGGCACATGCTAGGCCCACAATAATATTAGTTGAATAAATGAATGAACCTTGTCAACAACTGACATTTCTGCAGAGTAATGAAGGAGCTTTTTAAAAACTCAGATTCCTGGGTCTGGCTATTGCCTCATTTAATCTTCACCATAGCCCTTTGAGGTATCGTTGCCATTTCACACGGGGGAACACTGAAGCCAGAGGTGAAGCTAGAACTGGAACTCAAGTCCTCTAACTCCATTCCAGCCTCCTTCCATTTTACCACATTGCCCAGGCAGGAGGCATCCAGGTAGACACTGCCGGGCTGTCATGGCACAGCTCTCCCCACCACGCCTACCTCGAAATGAACTCACCACCTCCATTTTTGTAGCAGAGATAGGGAAACCTCCAGACATTGCCCAGCCCAATGATCTCCCCGGCCACTGACAGCACAAACTCCATCTTGTTGTTCCATTGGCCCCGATCCTTCACCTGGTCCAACTTCTCTCCCTCCTCAGGGACCCAGGAGACCACACGAGGCCCATCCTCACGGACTGCCACTTTTCTGTCCATAGCCATGTAATGGTTTGGGAAGCCGCCAAGCTGGAAGTGGGGCAGGATGGTGACCTAGGCACAGCCTGGTGGGAGGAGAAGGAATGAGCTGCCCAACTCCAACACATGCCCCACCATCCCTGCTTTCTCCCTCTTAATCTTTCATTATTATTGGAATGTTTCTTTAATATTGTTGGACTATTCCTTTTCTTCCAAAATGCTCAATGACATATACACTTAAAGTTAAATATCATTTAACTTTATGACATATTGCTCTCATGACTCTGAGAACAAATAGGGACCAAATCTTAGTTTGCCCATTTTGCAGGTGGGAAAATCCAGGCCTTGGCAGATGAAGTGACTTGCCTGAAACCATTTAGTGGTGGAGTAGGTTTAAAACCCACGCTGGGGCCTTTTATTCCAAGTCCCTTTGATCTCTGCTGTTGTGTTGTCCCAGCTGCTCAGTATTCAGTCAGTGGCATCAGCTCAGCCTCCAGCCTCCAGGCCTGAAGGGATCAAAGGCTGCCAGAGGTCAAAGGTAGGTGCAGCCTGGGTGACTGCATGGTCTTCCCCTGGCCAGTTTTGTGCTCATTCCTGCACCAGGATGATCGATCGACTCAGGGTAAACATGGGAGCCAGCTGGCTCTAGCCATCTGATTGGGAGGGGAGGGGAAGGTGGGACCTCTGAACAAGGCCAGATGAGAACTAGGATTGGTGCCAGGGCCAAGTGCAGGCCTTCAAGGGAAGCCTGGTTCTCTTTCTCTCTGTCGTACCTCTGTCCTGAGAACAGGAGAGGGGTCCTTGTAGTAAAAAAAAAGAGGGGTCCTTAAGTGGTAGTCATCTCCAGATCCGAGTGGTCCCCCCAAGGGAGATCCAGAAATGGCTGCCCAGTTCACCACTTCTGCCAACTCCCTGCCCTCCTAAAGAGCCCAAAGCTCCCTGGACTTCCAAAACCTTCCAGTAAAACCTCTCAGTTTTACTCTGCCGTCTCATTGTCAATTTGTCAATTGCCAGGAGACAAATGGCTACATGGTGGTGGCGTAGCTACGATCCCTGTTCTCCTTCCCTTCCCTCTCTCCCACCACAGAATCTGCCCCTGTTTCTAGTGAGCTGCCAGGGGAGGTGCCCAGGCTGCAGGGAGAAGCACTCATCCCCCACCCCTCACCTCCAAAAGGTGTTGGGGCACCAAAGTGACCCAGAGTCACCAAGAGCTCTGTGCTCCTCCAAGGCTCTAGAGAAACACAAGGCATCCTTTTTATTAAAAGAAGAGTCTGTGTTTATTTGTTGGTCCTTTTAACCCAGGCAACAGCCCAAGCCGGAGGCTGTTAGAAAGGTGTGGCAGGAGCCATTTGAGGTTATGGAAATTTCTGAAGGTGACTTGGAGGGTACAGATTATCCCAGGAATGGGAAAGCACGTCAGGGTGAAATTCCGGTATTGGCGCTTACTCAGAAGCTGCCATCGCAAGCTCAGCCCAGGAGGGGAGATAAGGAGAGAGGCACCCAGTGGGAATCAGAGGCCAGGGAGGCCTCTGGCCTCTGATACATCAGAGGCCTCTGATACAAGGGAGGAGGGGTGAAAGAAGGCCAGAGAAGAACTCCAGGCGCAGAGTAAGCAGCAGACCCCAGGGGGCCTTGAGAACCACAGCCTCGGGTTGAAAGAACAAGGCGTCTGGTCCCAGGGGAAAAGTCGGTGATACCTGAACCAACTGTGGACACTACGACAGAACTGGGGCTGGCGCGCCCTGAGGCACAGCCCCTGAATTGTTGTCAAGCAAAGGAATGGATGAATGAGTGAATGAATAAATGAACTGAAAAAAACTGATGAAAAAACACCAGACAGGAAACCCAAGTTCTAGTCCAGACCTCATCATAATAACCAAATGTAAGATTTGAGTAAGCACTGTCCTGAAAACATACACCTCTTTATATACATTATTAAATTTCATCCTCATAAACATCTTTGAAGTAGGTATGACTGATAACTCCATTTTATAAATGAGGAAATGAAGCTCAGAGAAATGAAGAACAAGACCTGACATCTAGCAAGGGCTCAGTAAAACTATTTTTGAATGGTTTGAATAAACTTACCAATACAATACGTGGTGGAGTTGAGTTTCTCACTTGCTGTGTGACCGGAAGCTAGTCACACCTCTTCTCTGGGCTTCACACAGCCTCCCTGGAAAAGAAGATGACCCCTGTTCAACAGGGATGTTGGGAGGATGGGGATAAAAATAATATCCATGAAAGACAAGGAGAGATTATTGCCTTGCTTGCCAAGCCCCAGGGCCGAGGTTCAGGGTGAGCCCAAGCACAAGAGTCGCCAAGAGGGGGGTCAGCAGACAAGTCTTGCCATTCCTAGACCAGAAGCAGCTATTCCGGGACCAAGCTGTCCTCAACAGTTGGAGGAGGCCAGACCTGGTGGGGAAAAGGAGTAAATGGAGGGAAACCAGAGGAGAATGTGGGAGGGGGCAGCCATCTTAGAGCCCAGCTTGGGCCCAGGGCTTGGGCTGTGTCGCAGATAGGGGAGGAGGGAGAAGAGAACATGAACTGCTGAACTAACACTGATGTGACAAGTTTGGTTGGTTTGTTTGTTTGTTTGTTTGTTTGTTTGTTTGTTTGTTTGTTTGTTTTTAAAGGTTATTGGGAGGATCATAACTTATGGGTAAGAATGAAAAACTGGAATGGCAGAATGAAAGCAAGAGCATGCGAAAATGCAAGCTGGCCCAGAGCCATGGTAAGTCAAGGGGAAACGGGCTGAAATTGCAGCAAGTGGGATTCAAGTTAGATTCAGGGAAGAAATGTCCAGAAGGATGTTAGACAGAAAAACAAGCTGTACAGAGCTCTCCTTTTTGGGTTAACTTTTAAAAGCCAAAAAGACAGCACACCCTGCCCTCCTGCCACCCTCAGGCCGCCCCCACTCTGCCCTTCCACCCCAGCCCATTTTCTAGGAATAGTTAAACAGCAGTGTTAGCCACAGTCAAGATGACTTCCGGACATCTACCCCTTCCCAAGGGTCCACCTCAGCTCTGTCACCTGTCCAGCCCCTAGCATCACCTCCCCAGCCTGCCCACCTGCTCTGCTAAGCTGGGACAGGGGACGGGGGCATGGAAAGGACCTCACCATACCTCAGTGCCCTCCAGAAGCAAAGATACCAATACCCACACTGGGCGCAGTGCTGCCCATCGAGGAAATATTCAAGAGGTTAGCAAGTCCAAAATTAACTGCAGGAGCTGGGCATGTAGACAGAGGCCTGGCCAGGGTCTAGGCAGAGGCACAGACAAGTGTGAATATGCTCCCCCCATGCTGCTGGGACTCCAGTTCAGCCCCATCACACTCCCCAGCCCATCCCAGGACGCCCCCGCCCCTGCTGCAGCCCACACCCACATACCAGCTCCATTTCCGTACACACACTGGTGCCATTCCCGTCACGTCCCTTTGCACACACATACCTGTGTGCATGGCACCAAAACCTGGGCCCCGTCTAGTCCTTCACACTCTAGGGGCTGCTTGGCTTGGCTGGTGGTTCCCTGTGCCTTCTGTCAGCCCTCTCCTTACCCCTTCAGGTACCAGCATGCCCACGCCTCCCCCCACACTGCCCCTGAGCAGGGCAGCTTCCTCCTTCTGCTCTACTAGTGGGGGGAGGGCAGGAGCCCCTTACCTGTGATCGCTAATGGCAGACCATGGGACTTCAGGAATGGCCCAAGGTTTCTCTCCTCTTCTTCCTCCCACCTTGCTGGGCACTGCTTCCCCCTCCCTCTCAGTCAGGTGACCACCCCCTCTTTTACCCACTCCCTGTGGCCATCCTCCATCTATGGACTTTCCTGCTACCCAGACTTGTCCCTGGGCAACTCAGATGCTGTGGATGGTGCGGGGGGGAGCTGGGGTAACACCCCTTGTCCTAAGATTCCAGAACATCAGACTTTGCTGGGGTCCCAGTGCGGGCACCACAGACACACAATTCTACAGCCTTGCCTCCCAGGTCACAGCCTCCAGCCCCCCCTGAGGATCCTTTCAGCGACTGGAAGATAGATCCAGCCCTCCACGTCCTGCTCACCTCAGTCCCCAATCCTGTTCCTGAGGTCAGCTCCGTTCCATGCCTCAAGTCCCCAGGAGAGTCCCAGAAAGCCGCTCTGAGAATGCCCAGAAGTGGGACCTGAAAGGGAAACTGTCCACCTTCACTCCTGTTCTCAGCTCAGAATCCCATCTGAGCCGTTGTCCTGGGGTTCCCAGACAGATGACTGGTGTGAGTATGTGTGTGTGTGTGTGTGTGTGTGTGTGTGTGTATGTGCACGCGCCCAGTGTATTGAGAAGTGAAGGGACAGAGAAATACCACAAGCAACAGAAGAGATTGAGGTCAAAAGTTTGTGAACCAGGATTACAACATCCAACCTCAGGAAGTCAAGTCCTCTGTCCCCAGTCCCCCACCCCCACTCACTCCCACTGTGGCCCCTCCCGCCCTCCCGGTGGGCGCTGTCCCAAGAGGACCCCCTCCAAGCTGGCTCGGAGACTCACATTTGACCTCGTTTCCCCTCCTTTTGTTCTTTGCCCCTCCCCCATCTCCCCTTCCCCTTCTCACCTTGCCACCTCCTGATACCAGGACCAGCTCCTTCAGAGGGATGAACTCAGGATGTACAGACAGAGGACAGCCCTCTCTTAGTACAGCAGTAGGATGGAGCCACCGACTCCCAGACTAGGAACTGAGAGCCTCAGAAGGGGCGTTGGCCTCGGTGACAGAGCATGGGAGGAGGGTGAATCAGATGCTGGACTTTTCCACCAAGTACCTGCCTCTGTGGTTTCCAGGCAAGCTCTGGACCTGCACCGCTACTACCCTCTTCCTTGGGATTTTCCTAGAGAAAAGTGCCCAGAGCACACCCCAAAGAGCCCAATCTACAAAGGACAGAGTTTTGCAGTCAGACAGACCTGAGTTTGAACCCTTTCTCTTGTCATTTACCGATCATGTCAGCCTCAGTTTGTCAATCTGTAAAAGGTAGATAACAATACCCACTTTTGCAGAGCTGCTGTGAAGTCTGAAGACAATAGGGCATATTGCTTAGGATAACACAGGTACTTAAAGGGGGTTGTTGGGGTTTGCTGTGGTCTTCTGGAAGCGGGGCCTGGGATGAAGTGTCTGGTCCTAGGCAGCACAATAATGACCTAGTGACCTCTCAGCACTACAGCACACAGCTGGGACTTGCTTGATTGCCTGGCAGCTATCAGTGGTGAATTGTACTGAATAAGTGTGTGTGTCCCATGCTATGTGCCCAGTGAGCTTATTCAAGGACAGGGTCCTCGTCACTATTCCTGAGCATGCCCTCATGGTGCTGGAGACAGCACTGCCCCAAGGCCATTCATTCAGAACAGCCAGTGTCTCTTTCAGGGCACTGAGGATGCTGCTTCAGCCCTAGGTGGTGTGGAGGCGGGGAAGTTGTAGGGAGAAAGGGAAATTTCCCTTTGCATGAGCTTCCCCTTTGTATTTTAGAACTTCCCAGCAAGGCTGGGTGTGAAGTGAGGATCTCATTCTGTAGTTTTCCATCAAGTGCCCCCCCCTCCCACTGTCTCTTGGCCCCTCTCAGCACCTCCTGTGGGGCTCCCCATCAAGGGGAAGCCAGGGGGGGTCTCAGTTCTCAGACCTTTGCCTCTGGGAAAGCAGGAGACAGGCTGGGGGTCAGCTCAGGCAGAGCAGGGCATGGCCCCAGCAGAACTCACATTCCAGGCCCTCCCCCAGTCCCCATGTTCACCTGCAATGCTGATCTGCCCTGCCCCCACATGTTGGGCCACCATGTGTTAATCATGGTGCAGAAGGGACACCAAAGGTCCATGAGAGTACCTAGCTGCAGCTATTCCAGAACAAAATACCCAGCCTCTCCATGAAGGGGAGAATGAATTTCCTAACTCATTTCATTCATTTAAAAATTTTATTTCATGCCACAATATGTCAGGCTTTCTGTGAGGACCTGGAGATACGCATGGTCCAGCAGTCTTGTCACCTCCCCTTCACCTTGTAGGAGAACAGTTACCTCGTTTGGCCTGACCTCCCGTTAACTTTGAGCCCTCCCATGCTCAAGCCCACCCCAACCCCCACTGAGTATTCAGACTGATTAGTAAACTCCTGGAGGCCAGAGAACCCCTATCTGTGCATAAGGTAGGAATCCCAGATTACCTGGAAAGCCTTCTAAGACTGGGCTGTTTCCACATTGGGAAGGTCTAAACACAGGATGGAATATGGTCAAATGAATCAGTTATCTTGCTGCAGTGAGAACCATGAACCCCAGAGAATCATCTCATCTTCTAACCTCATGCCTGCTTTTAAAGGGCCTGGCATGAAACTCATGTCCTGAGCATCTAGCTCAGGCTAGGTGCTTTGCATGTTGACCATTTAATCCTCACACAAAACTTGAAATGTAGGAATTATTAGCCCCATTTTACAGATGAGAACATTGGGGTGAACAGAAGTGATGTGTCCTAAGGCTGAAGCAGGGCCCCCCCCCCGGAACTCCTGTAATAGGAGCCTGCTGCTTGAGCTCAGAATGCCCCCCCATGCCATGCGCCCCACCCCCCCACTCCCCTGTGGGCTCCTTATTGTAGATTATTACCCTGTAGCACATAATTAATGCTGGTATGCTTACTAATTACAAACTCTATCATTCAGCATTCTTCCCAGGTTACTCCCCTCACTGTTCCCAGATCGCTGATGCCACCAAAGAGTTACAATGACAGAAGGGGACATCATGAAAGAAGAACAGACCTCCAGGACCATCATGTGATCTCTGAAAATCAGGAGCGCCCTAATTTTCTCTTAAACATCCCAAGCCGGTCTGAGAACGTTAAGGCAGTTTTGGGAGGTGTTAACCCGCTGCCTTCTCAGACTCCCAGTGTTCTGATAATATTAATAAACACTTATTCTATGACCCAATTCCTGTGTTGGTCTAGTGACTGAGCAGCGCAGGCAGCACGAGCTCTGGACTCGGTTGGCCTCTGGTTTCATGGCCAGACACTAGTAAATGATGGAGCTGGGATTTGAACGTGGGCCTCTTGGCTCCAAAAATCTATGCTTATTTCACTGCAGCACTCTGATTCCCAGACCATAACTATCTAAAGGGCAGGGGTCACATTTCATAATTCTTTGTTTCTGCCTCTAGCATTTAATACACTGCTGGCTCAGAGTAGGCACTCGATGTTTACCGGATGGATGGATGGATGGATGGATGGATGGATGGATAGATGAATGGATGAACGTGAGGGGAAGAAATGATCCCAGGCTTCCCTATTCTGGGAGATTTTCTTGGGCAACACTGCTGGTGCTGACAGGATGCTCCGTCCACAGCAGGCAGGGTTATTTTAGGGCTAGTTCTCCCTTGTCTCCTAGCAAAAATGCTTAGCTCAATAAATGCGTAGCCTTCTTTCTGGGGCCCAGTGCAACCTGATGCCTGGTGCCAGGAAGCCAGAGGACAGCAGGATGTCTCTGAACTCTTGGGCTTCTCTGTTTCATTGACAACCCAATGTGGCTGGAGCCACAGGAAATGGAGTGGATTTGCTTGAGTGTGTCCTCAGGACAGCTCTTCCTATACCCTCCACTGGACTCCAACAACACAATGATGCATTATTATTATTATTCCCACTTTATAGATGAGAAAACAAAGGATCAGATTAATTAACTTGCCCAAGGTCACAGCGCTAGTGAGAGGGTAGGACCCACATGCCAGGAGTATACTCATCTGACAGTGGTGTGTCTGAGCTTGTGCACACTTATCTAATGATAATGAAGGACTGCGTGTCAGTGTATACATGAATGGTTCTGAGACATGCGCCAGGTCCAGGGTAGGAGATCTGAGGCCCCAAGGCAGCCCGGTGGGCTTGGTGCCTGATCCATCAGTTGCTTCCCTGTCTCCAAGGGCCCAGCTTGTAAGTCTCCGGTTTCCTGTGCTTCCACCCTCTGCATTCAGTTCCCACTCGCCTTAGGGCTCTCTCTGCCGGCCTTTCTTCTCTAACAGATGTGGCCTCTACACTGGAGAGGGCTCCCCTTCCTTTTCTGTCTTCTTCCTCTGACACTAGCAGGATCACATACCTGCCCTTCCAGGCCAAGAGCGTGCCCCACCCCACAGCCTCTTCCACTCCCTCCACTAAAACCAAGTCTGGACCTTCCCACTCCCTTTCCCCACCCAGACCCAAGCTTTTCTCTCACATCTCTGCCTGTCCACCCCCCTGGGTGGTTAGAGCAGGCCCCCCCTCACCTACTTCCCTAACTGGTTTAATGACCTCAGGCTCACACACCCATTACCTTATCTGAGCCCTACAGCAAGTCTGTGGATGGGCAGGGGCATGTTATTATCTCCATATGAAAAAAACAAAGACCTGAATTCCAAGCAATTTCCACAAAGCCCATAGCAAGTTAGAGGCAGGTCACACCTCCTGATTCTTACACCAGTGGATTATTTTCACACGATAGTCCACTATTAATGAATCTTGTACATAGGACTCAAATCACCATTATTACTGCCTGCATCCCTTCTTGGCCTAGCAGATTCCTGCAAGTTTGATCAGATGGATGGGTAGAGAGATAACACAGCACAAGAAGGGCCTTCCCAGATGACCTGACCTAAGTCATCAAATTCCTTCCACACCCCACCTATTCTTACTCAGAGCACTGGGCTCCTTTCTTTCATAGCATTTGTCACTGAAAAAACTGTCTATTCTTGTTCCTCATGTATCATGTGTGTAGCACAGCACCGCGTAGTAGGTGTTCTGGGAATATTGTCGGATGGTGATGCCAGGTGTGCGGTATCTCAAGTTTCAGCACATTTCTCTAGCAGATTTCTCTCCACCTTAGAAGTATGATTGAGCCTGGCACACATGGGGGACGCCCACACAGTCATTATCCAGGAAGGGGCAGCCAAGGCCAACAGACAGCAGGCCTGCTTTCATTAGTCCTTATAAACTCTCCCAGCAACAACAAAAAATCAAAACCTGAAGACTGGCAAAGATTCTAGTATATTTTCCCAGTAATTAACTTGTAAAAATAGAAGAAGAAGGAGAAGGAGAAGGAGAAGGAGAAGGAGAAGGAGAAGAAGAAGAAGAAGAAAAAGATGAAAGAAAGAAAGAAAGAAAGAAAGAAAGAAAGAAAGAAAGAAAGAAAGAAAGAAAGAAAGAAAAAAGAAAAGAAAGAAAGAAAGAAAACCACCCAAAAGCCACTGTGCACCCTTTACCTACAGCTCTAGGAATCACCAGATGTTCCGCTGGCTCTGCACTAGAAGAACCATCAGAACAGAGGCGGGGACACAGACAGCACCAAAGCCTCCGTATGTGCAGGGAGAAATGCAGTTGTGTGTGTTCAGCCACACAGACACACACACACACACACACACACACCCCTGTGCTTCAGCTCTACACACCCATGAGAGGTAGGGCTGTGGAGATACACCTGTGGGATCCTCTGGGGCCAAGGGCACACACACTGACCCTGAGGTAAGACAGGCTAGGCCTTGCACCTGAGTCCTCTTTACAGCCTAACTCTGAGTTCATCTCACAGCTCAGGCTGGGATTGTCGAGCCGCGGTCTCGCCAGAGCTACCCCCTCGTGGCCATGTCTGGCAGTGCTACTTCCTGCATCTACTCCGCAGAAGAGCGTCGTGGTGCTGAGGAAGTGGGGTCCCTCTGCTGGCTGAGGTGAGGTAGTGCCCTGCTCCGCCAGGGCTTTTCGTATCGGCTGCCTCCAATCTGCGAAGTCCCTGCTGTCCCTCTCTTATGACCCTGGCACCAGACCCTGGCACTAGGCCCTGGACGGGTGCACCAGACACAGGTTTGGCAGGCGGAGTGAGGAGAGGACACAGTCAAGGGAAACGTGGGCAGCAAAAGCCCAACCACTCTTTCCTCTTCCTTGGTCTAGCTAGGACTCAGGTCCCCTCCTTCATTCTTTCCTCCATTGCCTTTCTTATTCCACAGAGCGAAGGAAGCAGGAAGGGACCCTAGGAGAAGCGTGGACAGAGGTGTGACAGACCCTCCCTGGTCTGAGTGTCTGATGATGAAGGATCTCAGCTGGGCCCCACCACCCTTCTCCCGATAGCAATCCCCTCTGCTTATGGTCCATAAGAACTCAATGAGGGAAGGCGACAGGGAGGAGGGTGGTCCTAAAGCCACAACTTTAAAGTGATGAGGGAGTCAAGGCAGCAAGGTGAAAGGGCAGGAATCAGGGAGAACTGCTAACAGTCGGTGGAAACAACTTGGGTTTAATGGAATGAAGGGTAAGAGGGCCCAGAAGCCAAACAGACCTCTCAGCCCACGCACCAGCCCTCACCCAGCTTCTCCAGCCCGTCTCAGAGGTTATGCTCTTGATACTGGCATGTCACACCTGTTGAGCCACCCCTGGGGCAGGGAAGTTGGGGTGGGAGGCAACCAGCTCAGAAGGTGGATTCCCAAATATCCCCTCTGTCTTATCTACCCCAGGCGGGGGGCATAGAAGCACAGAAGGCTGGGTCTGCCCTCCTTTTCTGCAGCTGTCTCCAAGGCCAGGCCCACAGGCACTGAACAAGAGCCTGCCCCCTAGCAGTGAGACTCCAGTTCTGTGAGTCTGAGAAGCGATGTCCTGGGTGTGGCAAGGGAAGAGGGTCCTGCTTGGTTCCGTTGGGCCAAGTCCTCAGCTGGGCATACAAGCTGGCAAATTCTCTGCAAGGAGAGTTGAGGTGGCCGCCATGAGGTGGAGTGGGGGTCAAGTCTGCCAACTTCCCTCATTACCAATATCTGCCTGCCTCCCTATGTGTAACTGTGCCCTCTAGATGCCAGCCCCACAACCACTGCCTGTGTTTTAGAGGCATCCATTCTCCTGAGACATCTAAGCACTCACTCTGTCCCTCCCCGATCCCCACACCAGGCTCACCGCCCCCTGTGCACCATCTTCTACCCTGGCAGGCAGCCATCTACCATCATCCACTAGGGTTCCTGCCCCTCTGACTGCCCTCCTCCCCACTAGCTCCTACCTCTCTGAAGGAGCCCTTGAGGGTGCTGAGTTTGTAGAAGCTCCAGGCAGGAATGCAGACCATGGAGGACAGAGCCAGGAGCCAGCCCAAGGCATCTCCCCACCAGGGGTATGTGTACTTCTTGTTGTAGGTCAGCGGGGTGTACTTGATCAGGGAGAAGAGGAAGGTGGCCTGAGGGTGAGAACAGGAGAGAAAGGGGCTAGGGAGCAGGAGCCCTGTGCCCTCAGCGCCCCCTGAGGAGCTGGCAGAGATCACACTCCCAGCTTGTACTTTCTTCCAGGCTCACCTGGGCCAAATCAGCCTCCAATCTCCATCCATATTCTGCTCAAAACCCACAACCCCCAGTAGATATTTCCAGGGCATCTACCCTGTCCCACCAGGGCCTGTGTCCATGGGCACCTCTACACATGATTGGCCCCCAATTCGGACAGGACTGTGTGCCTGCTGGTGCTTCCAGTCATTTGAGTCTCCTGTACCATCAGGTGGGGCTGTGAGTACCTCAAGAGCAGGGGTCAGGCCTTATTTACATCCTGCATACAGTGGGTGCCCAGGGGGAACTGCTGACACAAATGGATAAGCCAGAGGAAGCAGCACAGAGTGGGTCATGGCTGATCCTGGCGCCAAGTAGCCTGGGCTTGAATCCTAGCTCTCTGCCACTTTCTAGCTTGCGTAAATTGCTTAAACTCTTTGGCTTCAGTTTCATCTGTCAAATAAATATAATGGTAATTCTTACTTTGTGGTGTTCTTGTGAGGATTTAATGGGTGAAAGTGTGTAAAACACAAGGTAAGTGCTCTGTATCTATTGCTGATACTATTGCTGTGGTTATCAGTATTATTACAAGCAGCCCAATGCACTTGGGTTTCAGTCCTGCCTGTGACATTAGACTCACACTGTGGTATTGGTCAAACCATCAGATAGCTCTAGACCTCAGTTTATCCTTCTGTGAAATGGAAATGAAGACTCTATCTTGCTGTCATTTTCTAGAATCCAACAGCAGAATAAACGAAAATCTAAAATGATTTTCAATCCCCACAGAGAATTCCCTTCTAGGGTCAACAGCGTGCCTATCCTTCTATCACCACCATCTCTCTATCCCTTCATCTGGCTTCCCTCCCTAAAAGTCATCTTACTGTGCACACGGCTGGTGTGAGGAAGAGCCAACAATATTTGATAAGAGGCCATGGCCTGTACCCAATCATGTCTTCAATGTTGTCATAGAAGCGCCCGGCTCCTGCCACGAAGAGAAGGAAGGAAGGGAAAGAAAGAACATTCTTTAGCATCCAAAGCATAAGGATGGGACCCACACAGACCAGGATGGGCAAGGACCAATGAACAGGAGATACCATGGTTGTCTTTACAGATCATTGCTGGGAGAGAGCTCTTCCCTGGGATTTAGAGGCATGAATGGCAGTGGGCAGCAAAGGCAATAACTTTTTGATTATCAAGGCTCTTACAGACTTAAAAAGTTGGATAGGACAGGATATGGTCCCACCTGGGGTGGTCTAGGTACAGCCATAACCAGCAGGGTAAGCCAGGCAAACTCTGGAGGGTCCTCCCAATGGTAGCAATTTAGGATTCTTGAGATTTTTGAGGTTGGGTAGGGGAGAATTCCCAAGAAAAGGTGGGTGTGAGCAGTGGATGTCTTTCTTTTGTCTAAGGGCCCTGGGGTGGAGGTGAGAACTGGAGTTAGGGAGAGTCACTCACCATAGACCCAAGCCACACAGAGGGACTCAAAGATGGCCACAAACAGGAGGCACATGCCACTGGCTGCATAGTAGTCAAAGAGCTGGAACACGTACATACCACCCTGCCCGGGAAGAGATAAAAAAAAAGAACTTTATCTGGAGGACACAGACAGATTTATCTCTATGCCCTCCAGCCTCACACCCTCAGGGCACAGAACAGAGTTAGTGAGGATCATGGAGTCCTTCCATTGTGATCACAAAATATGGTGAATGCTGCTGCCAAGTGCCATCCAACAGAAAGGCAGGGATCTTCAATTCAGGAAGTGGCATGTCGAACCTTAATAACAGTGTGTGACAAGTTTTAACTTGTTCGGTGCAGACAGTCGGGTGTGAGCTACGGTCGAGAGAAGGTGTGTTTTAAAGTGTGCCGTAAATCATCCTCCATCATGACAACGCTCCATGTCACACATTGCTTCTGGTATATGGAAATTTCTGTCAAATAAAAACATTACAGTGTGTCCTCATCCACCTTATTCACTGGATCTGGCACCATGCAACTTCTGGCTCTTCCCCAAAGTCAAAATGATTCAGGACATCGAGGCAGCCACAACAGTGCAACTAAAGACACTCACAAAAAAGGACTTCCAGAACCGCTTCAGAAAGTGGCAAGAAAGATGGGATAAGTGTGTTCGAAGTGAGGGGGAGTATTTTGAGGAGGATTAATGGCAATGTGTCTTATACCGTAATAAAAATTTTATTTAAACATTTACCATATTGTTTGATCACACCACGTATTGTTAGATTGTCCTTGAGAATATGTAAGAATTGACCCAGAAGTCCGAGACATAATGTGCACTTTTTGGCAAAGGTCAGAATAGGGGCTTCCATTGGTATTAACAAGCTGACAAGCTTCCTCTCCTTCTTTCTCCTTTGAGATAACACAAAATATTACCCATCCCCAGGGTTCCCTTTTTCCCTTTGAAGTTTACCCCTGGAACTTGGTACAACTGCTTGGGAAATTGTAGGATCTTGCTGGAGAGGCAGTTTTTCCTAACCCAAGACTTCCCAACCATCCTTTCCATACTTCTTGGTTTACCATGGAGCCAAAATATCCCCCACCCATTCGCACAAGTAGATGGTCAATGTCCAAAGGCCAGAGGAGGGACTCACCTATTTGTGTTTCTCGTAGCTGGGAAAGGAGCTGGTCCCAGTGACCTGAAACCACAGCAACTTGCTCCACCTAACAGGTGGCAGTTGTCCACCCTTACTCCCCCTCCTCATCTGACCCCACCTTGAAGCCTCCCAGACCCTCACCTCTGTGAGCATGACCAGCCCAATGAAGAAGGAGATGACAGACACTCCGAGGATGAGGATCTCCCTCCGGTTCTTCTTGCGGAACACACGGGGATACATGTCCACCAGTGCCGTTACCAGGCTCTCTACGCACACAAACTGGATGAGAGGGCAAAAGAATTGGAGGGAAAAAGAGCTCCCAGAATAAGCTCCATCAACTAGCACTAGCGTATGGCTCACAGGGTCGGCCCTGTCAGCTGCCCTGTCTCCCCCCAGTCCCCAGGGCTGTCCTGCATGGCTAGGTCTAGACCCACCTTCAAAGCTCCTCTTGGTCCCTGGAAGGGCATTCGCGTCTGCCATCTGCCCAGTTCCCAGCTCTCTGAAGGTCCACCAGGGCATTAAGCTCGACCTTGTGCCCGCTGCTCCCCCCTCCCCCAGCCTGCCCACGCCCACTTGTCTCTCAGCCTCTGAGTGGCCATTACTTGATACCTGGCTATCCAGTCCCAGGAGGACGACCATGAAGAAGAAGCAGCAGGCCCAGAGGGGCGAGAAGGGCAGCATCACCACAGCCCGGGGGTAGGCGATGAAAGCCAGGCCAGGGCCTGCAGCAGGAAGCACAGGCCTGTGTGATCCGGGCGGGGCCGTGGAATAACAGGCGCCAGAGGAAACTTCACCCCTCAGTCACTGTCACCACCACCGTCCTCACCCAGGAGAAGACAGCCAAACCTCTACCAGGTCCCCAGTTTTCCAAGGCACCATCCCCTGTGTTTTCACTGGCAGAAACAGAACCTAGAGACTGTGGGTGTTAAGGGCTTCGGAAAACAGAAAGGGGTATATCACCCACATTTCTGTAAGTTCTGCCCCAAATCCTCTGCTCTTACTCTCCGGATCTATTGCCCCAAACCAGAGGTTTCAAACTCAAAAAGAACTCAGGGGCCAGGCACATTTGTAAAGTTGCCCCTAAGTAAAATGGGGAGTGGTAGGGCCTGACGAGACCCGGAGCCATCACGCCTCGTTAACTAAAGCAGTTGCTGTGGTGTTTCTATAGAGGAGACTGTTCCAAAGGAAATACCTCTAAGATCTGACTGGGCCTGGGGCCAACAGTTTGCCACCTCTGTATCCGGAGCATTTTCTGTCACCCTACGAGTGAACTGGCATTAATTTCAGATTACCACTGACATACAATCTCTGAAATAAATTAATGTTCCCCTCAGCTAGTTCAAATGGCAGGAACAGATTGACAAGCCGGCACTTGGGCTCATCAGTAGGAAGCTTCCTTTGAAAAAAAGGGTGCGACCCTGTGACCTTTGACCTTGGACATTCCTTTACCTCTTGAAGCCTTGCTCCCCATGCTGGTGAGATGGGGATGATACTAGCACCTGCCTCATAGTTTTCCATTGCATGGTACAGGCAGAATGCTTCACACAGTGCCTGGCATATAGTAAGTGTTTAATAAAACTGAAATATTATCATTTTTAATGAGCTGATGATGTTAGTTGCCCAATGCTTGTCACTCTGTGTAACAGGGTGAATGTCACAGAGTGCAGTGGGTGGTCCACAGAATAGGGGAAGAGCAAGAGAAGCCTTTACAGCTTACCCAGAGAGGGGACCAGTCCTTGGTTTTATTTAAAAGCAGCAACAACAAGACTGCACGGTAGAAAAGCATTCACTTAACAAAGGAGGAAACTCTATGTGGCAATATAAATTATCTCTGAGACATAATTTTAAGTGAACAAAATAAGTTACGGTGTAAAACAGTGCATGTCGTATGTTATCAATGGGTTTTTTAAAAAGGGGGTAAGAAATAGAATACTAGTATGAGTGAATGTGTATGTATATGTGTGTGTGTGTGTGTGTGTGTGTGTGTGTTTTCTCATATATGTTTAAACTATTTCTGGAGGGATAAAGAAAACCTGGTAACACTGGTGGCCTCCAGAGTAAGGAACTGGAGCCCAGGTGGGGAGAAAAATGGTCACCGTACACCCCTTCCCCCTGTGAAGCTTTGTTTTTAAGTTCTCCCCGGCCTTCCTGGGATGCAGCCACTGAAAGGTGACCAGAGCTCACCCACAGTGAAGGTGACAATAGAAACGCCTTGAAACTGGTTGGTGAAGGTTCAGCCTTGGGCCTCCCCAACACTCACCTGACTCAGCCACCTCGGAGATGGGCACCCCCTGCTCTTGGGACATGAAGCCCAGGATGGAGAAGATGGCAAAGCCGGCCACAAAGCTGGTGCCACTGTTGAGGAAGCAGAGGGCGATACAGTCCCTGCGGGGGGTGGGGAGGTGGAAACAGGGGGATCAGAAAGGGCAGCAGGGCCTGGAGTGGAAGCCAATGGAAACCCCAGGGGAGCCTAACCCCCATGGGGCTGCCTGGCAGAGTTCCGCTCCCCCTACTTCATTAGCTCAGACTGGGAATAAATCAAAGTAGTCCTAAAAGAATGAGGCTCTGAGGAAGCAAAATGTTAATCTAAAAATTACTAACTGCCACAGAGCCCCCCCTCCCCACCATATTGTCACCACAGTTTTGGGACACCACCACTGGGACACAATTCAGTGTGGCATGCTACTATCAAGGACGTAGGCCTGGATAATCCCAAGCAACAAATAATTCTCAGTCACCTAAATCTGATTCTGAAATGCATGATATATTTTTAGCTAATATTAAAATTGGAGTAAATTCTCTAATATGAACCAGGTAGGTCAAGGGAATCACGGGGAGGGGACATGAGAGGGGGAGGGATGAAGGAAAATGGGTAAGGAATCCATGTTTGCTGGGGCAAATGTACAAAGTAGGCAAGACTGAGGCTCCACCGCATGACATGACTACTTCTCCGGCTTGCTTACGCTCCCGAGTCCACAAACTTCTAAATTAGCCAGGACCCAGGCTGGGCCCCACTGCAGCTTTTCAGCCTTCCCCCACCCTTTTGGAAGCACTCCCTTTACAGATGCTGCAGTTGGCTCCTTTCAGCCACTGGTAGCCCTGGAGTATTGAAAAGTGGGGTGAAGGGTGGGGGTGGGCAAATCCATGAGCTGGTGCACCCTCCAAACCACTCCTGATCCAGCATGGCTGGCGGGACAGTAGAGAGATGTGGGTTTGTGGCTCAGGCCCCAGTCACCTGTAGCAGTTGTTGTGGTACTTGTTGTAGCTCCCCAGGGCTGTCAGGCACCCTAGACAGATGGCGAAGGAGAAGAAGATCTGGGTGCCTGCATCCATCCACACCTACACAGGAAGAAGACAAGAAAGCTGCCCCCAGGGAAGCCAGGGCAGCTGGGCTCCACGGGAGCACACAGGCCCATGCTGAGCCAGGCACAGGGTAGGGCTGGTGAGAACCCTGCTCTCAGCCTGTGCAGGCTCCACCACAGCCTGCTATCCCAATGGGCTCTACTTTCTGGGCCCCTAGATGGGGTTTCTTGGGCACTACCAGGATGGCGTAGGCATTAGGCATTCGAAGAAGATGACTAAGGGACTCATAGTGGAGAAGGGTGGGCAGGTAGGAGCGTGCTCTAGTTCTATGCACGGCACTGTGTTTTTATCACGGAAACAAACCCCTGGCTCTGCCTCCACTTTCTCCTGTCCTGAGCTCCCCTGGTAGTGTGACCAGTTCAGAAGGAACCCAGAGACAGGATCTCTAGGGTTCTGGGTCCTTACTATCAGTGCCATCACGGGCATGTAGCTTGGCCTCTTGTGCCTCAAAACCCGCTGTCTGAAAAACAGGAGGAGTAACCTTCAGCTCACAAAAAGTCAAGAGGATGAATGGAAATGCATCTGTAAAAGGCTTTGTACTCCTTGGGGGGGGGGGGATCGCCAGCTAAACATAGGGTATGGTTGTTACTGTTATTATCTCAGCTGCTGCCCCAGCCTGAGCATGTTATGATTTAGATTTAACAGCTACAATAACATCCCAAAGAGAACAAACGTCAAGATGTCAAGGCAAACAGGACTGGCAACCCTGCAGATCAGCAGCAGGTGGGGTCTTGGGGCCACAGACCCTCCCCAGGCATCTCCTGCCTTCGGCCGACGTGAGCTCTACACGGGAGCACCAAGCTATGGACCCAGACATTCCAGGCAGCTGTCCCAGCATCTCTGTGTTCCCCATTTCCTGTCTTTTGCCTGATGCTGCCCCAGTAGCCCCCCAACAGGCCCTTATTTCCCTTTCACTAATGTCAGGCCCCCAACGCCCCCACACACCAAAGCCTAAGCTTCTTTCTGTCCAAAGCTCCTCAGTCCCTGTGCATCTCTCCCTACCTCCCTAACCATCACCACTAACCTCCATCTCCCTTACTCTCTCTTTCATCACACTCACCCCACCAAAGTGCCATTTTACTCAGCATTATAGTGGGTTCAGGGGACCCACTGGCAACCTGACTATATCAGAATCACATTAATTCCTCAGCCAGCAGCCTCAGTTGAGACACTGAATCTCTATCGCTCAAGGAGAACCCAGAAAGCTGTATCATTTTCGGAGCTTCCTGGGTGATCCTACTGAAGAGTCAGATGTGGAAATCACCACCCGACAGCCCCCAAGCACTGGTGTCAGGGACCCACCCAGAGAGCACTCTCTCCTCTTATATTTCCATTTATGCAGGAATTGGGAAAGAGCAGGGGAAGGTGGTAAGGACAAGGGGAGAATGTCTCTAGCCTCCTGTCCCTTCTGATCACTGTCACGCCCGTCCCCAAGGTATTCTGTGTGGCAGGAGCGGCCACCAGGGAAAAGGGCTCAGAGGCGGAGCCGGAAGGGCCCCCGCTAGCAAGAAAGAGCTGAAAGGATGGAAACACCTGAGGCCTTTTTTACCTGGAGGGAAAATATAATGGGAAAGGAGATGGGTACCAAGAGTTATTCCTGAAGCAAAAGAAGGTAAGGGTAGGAATGAAAAGAGCCTACAGAGAATAAGGGTGCTCACAAAATTCAGTGTGATGTCACAGAATTTGAGTGGGTGGTCTGTTTACTCCTTCACGTTGTTCCAAATCCTTTTTTCTTCTAAAACTCTGTCCCCCAGATACTGTGAGGATGGTCATCTCAGGAAAACTCAGTGACCTCTGGTCTGAAGGTCACTCTGTTCTATTTCGTTCTTGTTCACTCAGTAGGTTACAAGCGGCTCGGAGCTTGCGCAGCACGGATTTACTTGGGTCAGAGATGTAAGGCTGGGGAGCGATGTTTATCTGCCTGGGGGCTCACGCGGTCATGAGATCAGGTGATCTCTCCCAAATAGGTCATCCAGGCCTAAAAGGTTTGTTCCATGGGCCTCGCAGTACCCAGGGTGCAGACGGACCCACTCATTACCAAGGAAACTGTCCAGTGCCGCAGAGACCTCTGTAGCTGCCCGCGTGGTGGCAGGGGGCGCAAATCCTGTGGTTACGAAGTTTTGTAAACTTGGGCTTGGGAAGAAAAATTGTGACTTGGCAGTTCACCTAGCCCTGCGGGGGACAGACTAAGACTGAGTTGTGAGGAGAGCTTAATGAGAACAGAGAAAAATGCAGCAGGAGGGCTGAGAGTTCAGAGTGCAAGGGTCAGATATGGTGCCTTTGACTAAAGCCCCCTCACTAGGAGCTTGGCAAGCCCCAGTTCTCTGCACAGCTGCTGCCTGACAAGCCTGCTGGGATGAGGGGAAGGAATGGGGTCAGAAGAAGGACTGAAGGAAAAAGCAAAACAAGCTGTTCTGTTCCCACCGCAGGCGAACCACTCCCTGCCCATGCCAGGAGCCCTGGTTTCTAGAACAAAGCTCTAATGTGTCTCTGGCTGGGGCAGAAGACTGACCAAGAATAAAACAAGTGTGAAAAACACTTGGTGGAGTATAGGCAAAAAGGAGTTCTCTGAGGGCACAGAGGAAAAGAGAGACCTCTAGAAAGTCCAGGAAAGATGTTTTCAACTTTGAGTCCAACCCCAAATATTATTATATTTACTATTTTTAGGATGGCAATAGTGTGTAATGAGAAAAGCCTGGGCTTTGGAGTCAAAATGAACTGGGTTTCAGTTACTAACTCTATTAATTACTAGCTGTGTGATGTTAAGCAAGTCACATAACCTCTCTCAACCTTACCTGTCTAATCAGGAAAAGAGTAATAACAAATAAAATAAGTATGTAAAATTCCTAACGCAAAAATAAATATTAGTTCCCTACTCCACCTTCTGGAATTAAAAAAAAAAAGCCTTTCAAACTCTCAAATCATTCATATTCTTTGGAAAATAAATATCTCAGTGATTAAGACAGCAGACTCCAAAAGACTACTTGGGATGAAACCCAAGCTCACACACACACACACACAGACATGTTAGTTTTGCGGTTTGGGTCAAATTTCTTAAGTTTTCTAAGTTTCAGTTTCTTCATCTGTAAAATAAGGCTAACACCTAACTAAATCCCAGGGTTAATGGGAGGATTAAACTTTACTGAGTGCATGACAAATAATAAGCATTTGGTCAATGTTTCAGCTACTGCTGCCGTTTGTCATTAGGTTATTTTAAACAAACAACTCGCCTTTCAGTGATGATGAGGTTCCATAGACTTCAATGTACAATATCAAAATAAAAACACTGATTCTAATCAATAGTTCCAAATCCCCCCCAAACAAACCCTTCATTAAGACTAGCTTAGCATAGAGATTTAAAAGGTTCAACAAAGGCTGTTTGGACACCCTACCCCCCAACCCCTGCCCTTATCAATCTACCAAAGTGCAGTAGAGCGGACAGAAGGAAAGAAACAAGTGCAGAAATGAAGCACACACTGCGCCAGTGAAGTCCTGAGTCTCCAGTGCCATCACCCATGTGAAAGAGACAAGCCCTGGGGAATACCAGGAGACGCAGCAATATGCCTGGCACACAGCAAGCCTGGCAAAAGGAGAAGAGAAAACCAGAAAACCCAGCATTGTCTCTGCCTGGATCCCCGCTCCCACATGGAGTGCTTGCCAGAAAGATAGATGTCTTTGGTCTTTGTGTTGGCTAGCAGGAATTTTGCACCTTTCTCAAGTGCCAGGCAACTGCCAGCTGGAATTACCACACTTCCTGGGGAGTGCCAGCTACATTCAATTATAGTTCTGGCAGGGCATCCCACCCTGCAGGGGTTGCTCTGCTCACAGACAACAAAGGCCTCACTTCAGCATGGGACCAGGCCAGGCAGTTAATAAGGCAGTTCGGAAGCTCAGGACCAAACCTGGCTCTTGAAACCTCTCCCTCCCATGGTCTCAGAGGACTTGGAAAACATATGCTCCCTGTACAGCCTACAGCTGACTGGGGTTGGAAGGATGGTATCCTGGAGAGCAGATTAAGATGTCTTATTCCCTTCAGTAACCCACACAGAGAATTATGGCTTTATTAACTCTCAGAGCTGAAGGCCATCTGGTTCACCTTCTTTATATTTGTTGGAAGATATATATATATCACACTACACCTAGAACAGGCCTGACACCTAATAGATGCTCAAGAAATTTCTGCTGAACAAATGAGCTATGAGAAAAACAAAGATAAGCAGATGAGGACTTTGCCTATAAGAGATCATAAAGTAGGTAGAGTTTATCACCATTCAGAACTAGATTCCAGGTGTGTGTGTGGGGGGGGGCGGGGTCAGAGACATCTGCTAGTAGCTGTTTGTGGTCCCCCTCCTTGGTTCACAGCTGCCAGGAAAGGTGCAGGTACGAGGGTAGAAAATTATTTAAGCTCTCTAGGCGTTAATTGCCTTATCTATAAAATGAAGATACCTCATTGATCTGCTGCAAGGATTAGCTGAAATAATGCATGCAAGCCTCCTAATGCCAGGCACATAGTAGGCACTCAATAGTTGTTAGCTTTAAGTCATTGATCAGGACAAACAAGGCATTGATCACAGAAGCCATGAATCGGTTCCAGAAAAACTGGACCTTCTCTCCTTTGGGCTTCAGTAGCTTAACTACACCTCTGGTTCACACCTCTGGTTCACACCTCTGGTTCACACCTTTGCTGCTCCAGAATCACAATGGCTCCCTCTGGCATAGGGGATCCAAGCCAAACTCTACACCTGTCTTTCAAGCCTTCCCTCAACACTGTTGCCCCACAATCTCCCGCATGCTACCTACTCTCCATTACAACTCTTTGGTTCCAGAGAAGTCAAAGGGCTTATGATCACAAAATAAAAATACACTTGGTTTGGCCTGCCACTTACTTGCTGTGTGAACTTAGGTCTTGCTTGCTAATCTGTACAATGAGGAGTTTGCACTAGATCACCTCTGGAGCCCTTTTAGCTCCAATGGCTGTGGCTCTACAGTTTGACTCCAAAGCCTGACTGCAGTCTTTGTGCCCCACATGGAGATGACACAGCAGCAATCTGTATCTCTGTTATGTCTAAAAAATGGGAGAGGGGAAGGATAAGCCCACGCCCCACCAGAAGATCACTGAGAAACGTCCAGAATGCAAAGCTACCTGACTCCATGGGAAGGTTTCTGACTGTGGGAGCCCCAGCAGCCCCCATAGAACTCAGGATGGAAGAACTCATAATTCCGCCAGGGTGGCCAGGAGACTTGAGAATAACTGCACAAGGGGGAGCCATTGCCTCTGTGTGAACTGAGGCCAGGGTCTCAGAGGGACAGTGAACGTGTGTGCCACTTCCTTTTCTCTTGCTCCCTATCAGCAATTTCAGTGCCTTTCTATATAAAATGATCAAACCAGCCATCCACTTATTCATCTTTTCTGTGCTGGGCCCCTCCAGCCCTAAGTCTCCTTGGGGCCCCTGTCATAGACTGAGGACTTTCTCCAGCACCAAGGGAAGGTCTCTGAATTGTACACAAGCTCTCCAGGGAGGCAGAGGCAGGGCACAGAGCTGTGTAACACATCTTAGGGGCTTGGGGGCCCCAGCTCTCAATACCTCCTGGCTTTGCCAGCTTTCAAAATGGCTGCCGAACAGGAAAAGATAAGAAACCCATCAGAGGCAGTGGCATTTTATTTTGGGCCCTGCTTTACAAATGCTTCCAGTCAGCAAACAGCACCACCTCCTCCCTTCAAGGGCCAGGGCCATGAAGAAGCTGGCTGAGGGGAGGGAAGAGACAGGGGCCTCTTGACAACCGACAGGAAACTCAACACCAGCCCAGCTGGTGCTAGGAGGGGCTGGGGAACTGGGCCTAGGAAGAGGCCATGTGACCGAGGGAAGGAACCAGAGGGGGCTTAAGAAATCAAGAGGAAGCCAGGTGCGAAATGAGATTGATCTCCAAGGAAGAAAATGCAGAAAGGGGATGGGCAGATGCGGAGAAATGGATCCAGCCTGTGAGTAAAGACTGTTAGTGACATACTTACAGCCCTTAAGAAATATTACTAGGGCCTCAGCCTCACCGCCCCCCCCACCGCCCCCTGCTTCCCTGGCAGCTGTGAACCAAGGAGGGGGACCACAAACAGCTACTAGCAGATGCCTCTGACCCCCCCCACACACACACACAGCATGGATGCCTTAGGGGTGGGCCAGGAGCAGGGGTGCCCCACCAGAGCACAGGGAAGGGCTGTGGCTCAAGTGCCTTCAGAGCCACATGACAGCCTTGTCTGTGCTTCTTACCTGGGGATCCCACAGACGGGTGAGGTTTGGATACAGGTAAAACTGAATTCCTTGGGCTGCCCCAGGCAGTGTCACCCCTCGAATTAACAGGACCACCAGCATGAGGTAAGGGAATGTGGCTGTGAAGTATACCACCTGGCGGAGGGGCAGAAGGGGCAGAAGAAACTTGTGAGTTAGGAGGGAAGGGGCTGGAGACCCAGCAGCCAGGCTGGAGGTGGGAGCCCCCCACCTACAGAAGTCAAAGGAGCTTTGCTCCTACCCTCTTGCTCCTGCAGCTGTTCAGTTCCACCTCCCCTCTGCCACGAGCCACAACCTTTCCTCTCCCTTCCCCCTCTGGCCTGAAGCACCCCCCACCCCCTGACACATACCCAGTAAATATTTGTTGAGTGACTGAACAAATTTAGACATTCTCCCAACAAGTGTGTTTGGAATTACGGCACGGTTGTCAGGTATGAAAAGATCTAATACACATGATCCCTCTCCTCACAGCGCTTAAGAGCTTAGTGCAGCCAGACAGCCAGATTAGGAGGGAAGCCTTGTCAGAGGCCTCGGGCAAGAGTCCAGGGGAACTGAGAATGCCCTTCTAACACTCATACACTCTAGGGCAGAGTCCCTCACGTTCTCAGGCTGGTTGGGAATCATTTTGAGACTAATAATCTTAATGGAATTCTTTTCCCAAAGAAACATTATATGAACTAGGGAGCCATGAACTGTGTTCAATTTACAATGTGCCCGCACATGTGGTATATTCCAAGGTCAAATTCCCCTGGAAGTGTCCTTCCTGCCTTTCTTTCTCTCTCTCTCTCTTTCATTTAATCCTCACAAATACCAGAAGGACATAGGATTAAATCCAGGAGAGACACAGAATTAAGGAAAAGCACTACATAAAAATCTTTCTTGGGTCATTCCCTCCCATCCCTGACTATGCTATAACTTAGGGAACTCTTGGGTGACTGAACCCCCAGTGAGGGCAGGGAGTGCTGGGATGGGAGGGCCAGGAGCTCTCCAACACGGACCTTGCCCGTGGACTTCACCCCCTTCCAGATGCAGAAGTAGCAGATGACCCAGGCAAGCAGGAGGCACAGGGCCAGCTCCCAGCGCAGGGCCCCCAGGTGCTGGATGCCATCAGAGATTTTCAGGACCCGCCTCCTGGGGAAAGAAGGTTGAGCCAGGCCCCACTTTTGCTCCAGCCTCCATTTGGTAGCCTGCATGTCTTGGGCAGTGGAACCATGTCTCCAGGCTTTCGTCCAAAGGTTTGTCAGTTCTTGTCACCTGAATCCATGAGGCTCTCCTTTACCAAGATATGGGGTTAGATATAAAGGGAGGCAAGTAGAAACCGTTCCCAGGGAAGTTTGCTCTGGGAGGCTGAGTACCCATGTAACCTGGAGAAGGAGGTGCAGACACTTTCTCAACCAGGGCTTTAGGATGCTTTGATGTCAGGAATCATGCCTTAGATGGATATCAGTATTGGGGGGAGGAGAAAATAAGAGGCAATGCACATGCAGCTGAAGAGAGGAGAGGAGTTAGGAGCGGGGACCCACAAACGTGTGCACTAACATGGGGAGGGGCACATGGGGGGAAGCAAGGCAGGCACCCCTGAGTGGCAACATTCTCACCTCTGAAACCAGTTCTGCGTTAACCACAAATACAGGCACAACAGAAAAAAAGCCACTTAGGTGACAGGGCTACCAAAGAAGGAAATGGACATTCTTCCCTTGCTGTCCATTGAGAGTCACCACTGCAGGAACCCATCCCTGTGCCCTTCTTTCAAGCACACAGCCCACAGTGGGGTGGGGAACGGGCCTCACTTACTCCCAGAACTCGAGGACAGGAGAGGTGGCGTTCTCAGAGGTCACATTCAGGGAGCCATTGGTCCTCTGGAACTCCACACAGTGTTCTACTCGGGGGTCCCAGGAAAGGAAGCAAGAGGAAAATCATTAGCCAGTAGTTGGGGTGAAATTGTAAGAGAATGGAAGTGAGGTATCTGGAAGGCACTGGGCGGAAGTTGTCTGTACAAAACATCCTCAAGCACATACGAGGTCAGACAATTAAGTTTGCAAACTTGTTGCAACAACGGTACTAACCTTTTTTGATATCAGAGGGATTATTCATTAATGAATTTATGCCAACTAGACAGTTAACAAAGTTTACTATTTGGAAGTGCTGAAAAGGCTGCATGAAAAAATAAAACAACCTGAACTTTTCGCCAACAATTCATGGCTCTTGCATCATGACAATGCACCAGCTCACACAGCACTGTCTATGAGGGAGTTTTTAGCCAGTAAACAAATAATTGTATTGGAACACCCTCCCTACTCACCTGATCTGGCCCCCAATGACTTCTTGCTTTACCCAAATATAAAGGAAATATTGAAAGGAAGACATTTTGATGACATTCAGGACATCTAGGGGAATACGATGACAGCTCTGATGGCCATCCCAGAAAAAGAGTTCCAAAACTGCCTTGAAGGGTGGACTAGGCACTGGCATCGGTGCTAGCTTCCCAAGGGGAGTACTTCAAAGGTGACTGTAGTGATATTCAGCATTGAGGTATGTAGCACTTTTTCTAGGCTGAGTTCACAAACTTAAGTGTCTGGTCTCATACTGACCTCAACAAACCCACCTCTCCCTCTCCCACAAGCTTTTATTTTGGTACATATTCTTATTAAAGCATAATCAGACAGCATCAGGAAAGATGCTATGCTTTCTGTCTGCTTCAAAGTATATAAGTATTTCTAGGTGACTGTCATGTATAAACTCACAACCTTTGAGGAATAATAAGAATGCCTTCTAGGGAAGTGATGCAGCCAAGGAGCTAAATAAAACCTACAGGTACAGGTAGGAACAAGAAAGCTCTGGCTGGAATCCTGACCCTCCGGTTAGTCACTGTGTGGCTCTCTAAGCCTCACTTCCCCCATCTCTAAAATAGATATCAGAATATCCATTTTCAGGATTGATAGGGGATTCAATGAAAATACATCTGAAAAGTGCTCAATAAGCAATGGCTCTTAATTATCTCTACATTGACTTTGGAGTTTCACAAAGAGCATTCATATTGTTTTTTACATTTTATTAGTACAATAATCTTCAAAAATAGTAAGCCAGAAAGTGTTTTCCCCATTGTACACATGAAGAAAGTGGGTCTGCTTAGAAATGGCCCGTCTTAGCTTATAAGGGACTAAATGAAGGCCAGAATCCAGTCCAGCAACTGTGTATGTTCTACCTTCTAAATATCTAGAATCTGACTTTCTTGTTCTCACCACCGCCACCACCCTGGTGCAGGTTACCATCATCTCATGCCTCCTCAACTGGCTTCCAGTTTCTACTTGTACCTCCCTAGTCAAATCTCCATACAGCAGTTAGAGTGACATTAAAATTTAAGTTACAGTTTATGTTATGCCCCAGTTCAAGGATTTCCTATCCCACTCAGAGAAAAAAGCCAGAAGCCCTATAATCACCTCTAAAGCCCTATTCAATCTACGCTATCACGACTGGATTCATCTCCCATTACTCCCACTTACCAGCCCCATGGACCCTTTGCTGTTCCCTGGGTGCCACGGCATAGATGCTATAGGCACTGGCATCCCAGGGTCTTTGATTGGGTGTCCCTTCTACCTAGTGCCTGCCCCCTGCCATCTCGATGGCTCACTCCCCCTCTCCCTCCTCCTTCAAAGTCCTACTCAAGTGTCATCATCTCAGTAAGGCCTGCCCGTATCATCCATTTACATCCCCACCCCTAAAACTCCCAATCCCTCCTCCCTGTTTTATTTTTCTCCACAGCACTTTTTCTAACATGATAGCTATTACTCATTTATTTCATATATGGTCTGTCTCCTGTCACTAGAATGACAACTTTATGCAGGCAGGGACCTTGTTTTCATACATTGCCACGTCCTGACATAGTCCATAGAACAGAGCCCAACATAGTCAGAACTCAGTAACATCTGTTGAATGATTGGATGTCAGTTGAGCACTCATCTCACTAGACACAACACTTTCCTTGAAGCTTCAGCACACCCAGAGAAGCTTGTTTCGTCTTGACAGGAAAGGACGTCCTATGTTATTCAAGATACTAGGCTCGGAGTAAACCCAGACCCACTAGGAGAAATGCCTCAAATGTCAAGAAGCAAAAGACTTGGGTATTGAGTTTGTCTCAGAATTGTCTGAGACACCCACCCCCAATCAACCTAAAGGCAGATAGGCCTAAAGTGCCCTGAAGCAAAAGCCCTAGTCCACCAAAAATTCACACAGTTTTATAACAGGAACTCCACTGATCTGGATAAAATCACCATCTGACTAGCTAATTGTCAAGGGTGATTTCAGTGCACATAGATAAAAAGAAGGAAGGGAGGGAGGGAAGAAGGAAGGAAGGAAGGAAGGAAGGAGGGAGGGAGGGAGGGAGGAAGGAAAAAATATATCATATAGAGAAAATATTAGAATAAAACAGATTTTTAAAACTTGCTTCATTCAACAAATATTTTTGAGTTCTTGTGATGTAGCCAGCACTGTGCTAGGCACAAAGGCTATTGAGATAAATACACCTTTTCTGCCTTCGAGATCTTGCTGGCCTATGAGAAAACCAGACCAACAAATAGACAAAAAGTGGGATAGGAGCTACAGCAGGGCCAGGGGTCAGGGCAGGTACTGCCAGATACATTTGAGAAGAACCTAATGCATCTTGGGGTGTCAGAGGAAGTACCTCCACGATTTGACTTTTCACTTCAAAAATGGTGGAATGGAGCTGGTGGCCGACATTGGCCAGGAATGCCTGGAAAGGGAGCATAAAGTTTGAGAGCCAGAGGGGCCTTAAATACCATTCTAACTAACCATTGCAAAAATGTGCCTCCCTGGCAAGGAAAAGATGCAAACCCCAGTTCAGAACTGAGTAACTTATCTAAACAAGAAAAATTAATCATAGCACAGGTAGGGCCTCACCGACAGGTCCTGAGACATATCTGGTCAATGAGAGCAAGGTGGGGTGTTAAGGACCCAAACAGGACATGTCCAATATGCTCCCCATCCGCACTGCCCAAAGGGTGGCCACTAACCACTTGGGGCTCTTCACATTTAAATTAATTAAAATTAAATAAAAAATTTAAAAGTCAGTTCTTTTCACTCACTAGCCATATTTCAAGGGCTCGATAACCACATGTTGGCTACATTGCAGATAGTACATCATCACAGAAAGTTCTTTTGGAGAGAACTACCCTAAGTGTTTTTTTCATTAGTTTCAGGTGTGCAAAACAATGTAATAGTTAGACATTTATACCCCTCATAAGTGATAACCCCGTGCCCTCAATCTACTACCCCTCTGATATTGTATATAGCTGTTACAGTTTACCCTAAGTATTTTTAATTTTTGGTTGCTTTCAATTCATTAGACTCACTAGTTCTCTTGTCATAGGTGGCTCTTGTAGTCTTACAGGCACAAGAGAAAATTAATTGCTATTATAAACTCTATTGATGACATACAAGACAGTTTATTCCCTGGTTAAATCCAGATGAATTGTGAGTTGGAAAGACTTAAAGTAGTATCAGAGAGAAAATATGAGAAACCAAAAACAGAACAAACAATATATACATGTAACAAACTAACAATATTTCAAATCGAAATAAATAACTAAACTACAAAGTCAGCTCTATTGGCATAATACATGAATTCATAACACAGTAATTGAATATATCTATTTTTTAATTCTTTGACATTTGGCCTGTGATGCTGGGGAAATCTCGCTCTTATCTTTCTTTTTTTTAAAGATTTTTATTGGGGAATTGGGGGATGGGAACAGTGCTGGGGAATTGGGGGAAGGGGAACAGACAAGTTGCTGTCGTTTTGTTCTT